GGAACCGTGATTTAACGATCAGTCCACTGTGGGGACTGAAAAGGAGAAAAATGGCATTATTGACTTGAGTAATAAACTAAATTTTGATTCAAACTAAGGCAAACAACGTTAAAGAGCAGAAAAATATTTATAAAATACAAATGTATTTGTTGTACAAATGTAATGTACAAATGTTGATGTTTAAATTTTGTTAAAAGACAAAATGCTCCCCTCCCCCCCAAAAAAATCCTGTGAATAGTGTGGATAACAATATTGAAGGAGGGTTAAACATGGAACCAGTCTTCTCACTAGATGGCGTATTTGAGTGTTGCGAAAGCGAATGCTCCTTTGTGAAGAAACAGTTTAATAAACTATTTTATTTCAAAATTGAGAAAAAATATGGCAACGCTCTAAAATGGGGGCTGCTATTTCATCATCGTCTGCTAATCAAAAAATCTTGGAGGCAGCTAGACAAAAAATGTCAACTGACCAAAATTTAAACTTAAAAACTGCTACTTTTGCACTAGGGTGTTTTTGGCACTCAGATGCAACATTTGGATGTCAAAAAGGTGTTCATTTTACTCGTTGTGGTTATACCAGTGGCACATTACCAAATCCGACTTACAGGAATTTGTAAGTAACTTTTTCTAGAAAACTGTTTTAAGATTCAACTTTATTGCATTAAAGAAATCGGGATTTCCGCATCGTGATCTGTGTCAGAATAATCGCTAAGTCTGTCGAAGCTGCGACTAGCGAGAAACTAAGAAGAACATCACAAAATGGGACCAACTTGAAGGGTATAACTCGTAGTTACCCCCAAGAAAACCTCTACTTGTTTTTTTATATATATTTTGAATTTACAAGCTTAAAACCGTTTGGTGGTTGCAGTTGGTGCAGCCGATCACGACACGAAAATATGCCTCCATAACTTTTTAAGTTATACCTTTTGAATTGGTCCCTTTCTGTGATGTTTGTTTAGTTTCTTGTGGGTGCTGCCTGCAAGTTGCCAATTATTTTTCCACTGATCATGATATGGAAATCTCCCCTTTTTTTCTTTGTATTTGCACCAGGTTTTGTTGTTATTCTGAATCAGGAAAGAGGTTGAACCTGTTCTGTTATGTAATAAGCATTGCTTGGAGAGGAACAAGCAGGTTTCAAAACCAGTATTTGATTAGATTTTGGCAATATTTATATTATTGCTATAAGCATTTAACTTTGCTATGTCACAAAATAAAGAGATGGCTAGTTGTCTGTTTTCTATAAATTTGATCGAGTCAAGAAATAAATAATCAAAGAAATTTCATTTTTTCTTCTTCTATCAAAATATTCTGAAACTTAATTTCCTTTCTTTATCAGAAAGCAAAAGAACATAAACTTAAGTCTTAAATTCTGTGAACAAATATTTTTAGCTGTTTGGATGTAGGATGATAATAACCAAATTACGGCTAGTTCTAATTTTTCCAAAACCAAGAAGACTAATTCCAAGTAACCAGTTTAATTTTATAATAAACAATATCAATCCAGGGATCTGTTTGGTGGAAATTTGGGTCTGTTAACGGACCCTTCACAAAATATCTTTTCTTAAAAACGGACCCTTCACAAAATGATTTTTCTTTCAATTGGTCTCTTTACAAATTTATTTATCTTATTGTTTTGTTAATCGAATAAGTCCTTCCCGGGGGGGAGGGGGGGACAAGAAAGATGGATGTAAACAAATTAAGTTTTGTCTTCAGCACACGCTTCTTATTCGTATAAAATGAATATTCAACGCTCAGCATTATAGGCTAAATACCAAATATTTGCATGTTGCATCTCTAATTTGAAGCAACAATTGCTGTTTATTTTTGAAAATTTAATTTTTTTTTATTATAATTTTACAGTGCCGAGCATAATCTCGTATCTCTTTACAATTTAAAAACTCCTTGAAATTTTTTTTGCAACAACAGGACCCTATTTGCACAAATTCATAAAAGCTGGACCCTGGTTGAAAGAATGTGACTTAACCTTTATTTTATATTCACAAATTACGAGTAATTTTTTCACAATTTTACAAAAACGGACCCCTGCAATATAATAATTACAATTGTAATAATTAATAATTTCAAATTTTACATGTGTCTTTGCTTTTACGTACCATTAATATGTTGCTTTTTAATTTTTCCATTTCAGAGGTGATCACACTGAAGCAGTAGAAGTTGATTATGATCCTACGGAAACAAATTTCAAAACTCTTCTGAACCATTTCTGGAACAGTCACGATCCAACTGAACTACACAAACGTCAATACCGATCCGCTGTTTTCTATCGAGATTCGGAAGAACAAAATATAGCATGTGAGAGCAAGAAGGAAATAGAGGGAAAAATTGGTCGATCTGTTGCTACTGCAATAGAGGCTTTTGACAAATTCTATAATGCTGAAGAGTATGGTTTATTTTCTATAATATTGTATATTTATTTATTTTTTTAAATTTAGGCTAAATTTTATATTTAGTTAATGAATATATCAAGTGGCCTTTTAAGAGCATTTAAACCTTCTTAATTTGAGAAAGTGTGTAATATTATAGTGCGTACAGGGATTTTTTTAAGGTACAACCAGGGTTAGATTTTTTATGTCATTTAGAGTTCGAAAATGTCATAATCTGTTGAAATCTGATGAAAGCTGTCAAAAACTTGGGACAAGTTTCTTTTTTGTCATGGGGTTATAGTATTAGATGAACAATACTTACATTATATATTACTATAATGATTTATATTATATATCATGACTAAAAAATATAACCAAAATTATTGAAACTATTAAGTAGTTTTTCTAAAAAATAGTATTCTAATATTTAAGACCAATATTATTTGCTGTATTATAACTAATCAGTTACTATTACAGGTATCACCTATGAGTAGTTAATTATTGTCAATCTAAATACCGATTTTAATTCTTTGTACCACAATTTAGGCTGATTTTTCAAATTAAGTGAAACTAAAGTGGTAAATTTTAGAAAGCTATAACTTTTACTCTCAGTTTATGATTCAGTATGGCAAGTAATGTGTTAATTTGTAATTTAAAAGAAAAATAACATTCAAAAATAGACTATAATAGTGTTAGTGCACTATTCTGATAAGAAGTATAGTGCACTTATTTTAATTATTAAGTTTAATCATTAGTTTTAGCATTTAAAAATACTGATATTTTAATTCCGGTTTCCTGATATTTTAATAGAGGTTTAAATTTAGATACCCTTTATACCAACAGTGTTCTTTTTCTGTAGAATGAATCAGATTTGGTGACTTATTCAATGCTGCTTTTGATGATTTATTATAATAATTACTAATATTATAATAATTACTAAAAATAAATAATAATTACTTAAAAATAGACTTAAATAATTACTTAAAAATAGAAAAAATTAAAATATATATATATCATTTCCTAAAGTATAAAACTATCTAGAAATATAAATGTACATACTAGTTAACTATTTTGTAAAGAATGATGTAGTTTGCTCTTTGTTTTTCTTTATTTATTCTTCAATGGATTTTGCTATGTAAATTTCTCTCAACATAAATCTTTCAGCAAATATGCTTGCACCAAATAATTAAATAAATTATTTTCAGCCGTGGAACCCTTAACAATTGAAATTTTTTTAATGGAACCCCAGCTGCAATTATAAAGTTAATTTGCAAATGTGAACATATAAATTTAGGAATTTTAATTATTTTGGGAATATTTAATGAGAAGAAGGTAATTAATAATCTTAAAATTAGTTATTATATGAAACAGGCCAATTTACTAACCTGGAGTGGTATCTAGTTGGTTCTGAAATTACTTTTGGTATATACACAAGTTTTAGATAAATAAAAAAAATTAACTCTGAATTCTAGTTTTTACAGAAATGAATTCTTATTAATAATGAAATTAATTTGTAGGAAAACATATTTTTTTATTATTTAATTTAGTTATTTCTTTTTTGAATTGAAAAGTTCAATGGAAAATAATGATGCAATTCTTATCGATACATAATTTTTTAATATGTCATTAGAAAATATATCCTTAATTAAACTTTGTTACTTCTTTTTACTCTCTTATTTTACTTGAACAATTTAATAAAAATAACCGAAATATTAAATAAAGTAGTGATTGCATTGCAATATAATTTCCGATATTAAAAGAGGTGGTGCATAGCCAAGTTCATCATTAAAAAATAAGCACTTTTCAAGCACTCAAAAAATATTTTTAAGCACTTTGAAAAATATCATTATCAAACAAGGTTGACAATTGATGGTTTTATTTGCAGTGACGAAGACGATGGCATGTCACAAGTAATGAAATAAACAAAAGAAATGAAATTTTCTATTACTAATAGAGGAAAAGAATTGACAATGTTTAGTTGGTCCCCGTAATCAGCAAAAATTCGAGAGATTTTCCGATTCTATTACAGAGGGCAGAAAATGAAGTCTGAAATTGAGAATCTCTTGCAAAATGCAGCAGGGTTGCACATGAGAGACAAAAATCCTTACCACTGAATCCAGCTCAGTATACGCAAGTGAGAAGCCGCAAGTATTTCCTCAAACATGTAAAACAAATGGTGTTTTCATACACTACAGACCAGCAGTACCCCGAAAGAGATTGGGGTTGAATTAATTGTAAAAACGTTGAATAGAACAATGTCTTTTTGCATAATTTGTGGCGAAAATCCACATGGTAAGGAAAAATATCACATTTCAGAAAAGGGAAAATTAAGCACTTTTTAAAAATGCTATGCTTCCTGAAAAGATAATTACATAGTTCTTTCTCTTTTTTTTTTTTACTTTGGTCCTTCTGCAGAACCCTTGGGCTTGACAGAACACTTTTTCAGAACTGGTGGTTCTAATGAACAATAAATTTATCTTTATGCATCAATTACAAATATATGCTAAAGATACATGAAATTTAAATGTCATGATAGGTTTATTCATTTTTTCCCTTCTAAATCTGAAATTATAATACAAAGCACACTTTATTATCCTCATGTGAAATTTATTCATAATAAATTTGAATTTTTTATTGCAGTTATCATCAGAAGTACTTTCTTCAAACTCACCACAAAGCACTGTTTAAAAGCTTGGGTATAAAACAGCAAGATCTTGTGAATTCCACCCTTGCAGCCAAACTGAATGGCTACATTGTAGGAGAGAATAGTTTGGAAGCATTTGATGCTGAATGCAAAAGTTTAGGCCTCACAGCAGATAATATTGCCTACATTCGTAAGGAAGTAGCTAAAGGAAAACAAGGACACTGTTGAATAAACATGCGGACTTAGAAAAGAATGATACTCAGGAACGTAAAATTCTTTATAGATACATTTTCTAGTCATGAAGGCCTGTTGTCAATATACTTTTATAATTATGCTTTTTTATGTAGTAGTTGAAATAATTTAACATATTCTTTTATCAAAGATTTTTTTAAATTAACTTTTTTATTTAATTGAGAATTTTTTTTTCTTCTTGCATTTCCAAATCAAAGATATTTTAGATTTTATTAATTTTGCCTATTATTTAAAAACAATATCATAACTGAAATACTTTTACTGTATAGTTTAGAAGATCAAACTAAAATAATTTTAGAATTTTGAACTAAAATAGTTTTTAGATCAAACTAAAGTAATTAAAACTATTATGTGTTTATTTCAGATTAATCACTCAGAAAAAAAAAATCATTGTTATTTTTATTTCAGTACAATACCTTCATGAATTTGTAAAGAAAAGAATTATTTTATCAGTTAGATTTCAAATGAAGAACAAATTAATTTAAACCAGAAGGCATGAAAAAAAATTAATCAAGTTTTTCTTTACTATATATTAAAGCAACACATTTAATAAGTTTAAGAAAGATTTAATTTAAACAAACATATATCTAAATGGATATAATTACTTTAAAAATAGTAAAAAACAATTTTATACAAGTTAAGAAAAATTAAGATTTTAAAGTTTTAGTCCAGTTTCATAATTTTCTGTTATTATTTTAAGCTTCAAATAATAATAATTTGGGCATTATTTCTCAGGATATATTTATATATCAATATAGATATTAGTCAACCTTTCTGCTTAAGGATTGTTTTTAATAATTCACTATGCACTTTATTTGTGCCTTATGTATGAAATTAAATTGCCTTTTCATATTTTATCTATCTGTTGAAAATTTCTGTATCTAAATGTTCAGATACAAAGAAAATTGAATTCTATTTTTTGTTATGTGATTTTTGAATAAAAAATTTTATAAAAAAAGGCATGTTATTATTATTTATTCATAATGTTGCATAAAAGTTAAAATAATTGTTATGTTAGCAATGCCAGTCTTATAGATTCTCCATGATAAATAAATATTAGTCGCAAATACATACTTTTTTGTTTTGTTTAATACCTATCAATCTTAATTTACAAATTTACTTAAATTAATGGAGATGGTGAAAAGTAAAAGAGTTAATACAACTTTTTTTAATCCATTGATTTTATTAACAATCTTTTATTTGTCTGAAATGCAAATATAAGAATTTGGAAATAAGAAATTTAAGAAAGATGGCTAATCTGCTATAGCTGACTTGTTGCAGTAGCATGTAGAAACATATGAAAGCAAAATTGTTACCTTCAGGAACTTTGTTAAAATCTGTTAAGATAACATTATTTGAATTAGTTTGATTTCATAGAAATTTGTACAGACAAGCTATTTTCTGAATTAACACAATTTGTTCATTAAACTATAAAATTCCTTTTTGTTTTAAATTATATAATATTTTTAAAAGGATTATTTTTAATTAAAAGGCTTAATATACATGTCAATAAATATAGAAATTACTTTCAAAAATTCTCCCTATGACTCTTTTCCTTTCAAAGTGAACATCTGTGTTTGGAAAAATGTTTATTTCTTCCTTTGAGAAAAATAGCGAGTCCATCGACTTAAAATATAAAAAACCTAGCTAAAGTTTAAAATAATTTTTCAATTTATTAATTTGTGTCCAAGAAACAATGTTGACCACCATATTAGGTGGGCAAAGCAATGTTGACCCACCTAATATGGTGCCCCTTAATGAGTGACCAACAAATTTGCCCTACTGATACCTGAATGATTATCAATCAATTGAGCATTGGAAAAAAAAATTCTAAAAATTTGCAACACGTAATCTGTCTGCAGAGCTGGTAAATCAACATTCCTCTAAGATTTCTGTTCAGCTCAGCAAAACCCCATAGCATACTGGCATGAGCTTGCAACAAATAATCATTTCAATAGCAAAATACATGAAAATTGTTAACTGCATACCAACACGGAGCATTCTTTCCTCTACGATTAAAATTTACTTTTGCTAATATAATTATGAATTTTAAGTCACAAAAAGTAGACAGAAATAGTTCAGGGGGTCAGGGACTGTGTCATATCACTGCTAAAAAAAATAATGCTAATGATAAAAAGTCTTTGTATTTGAAACAATACAACAAATTTACCTTGCAAGAAAAAGAACAACTCATAAGTTAAGCATTTAAGGGGAATACATGGCATAACATTACATTATGGCAGCTAACCTAATAAAGACATGTTAAAATTTCAAGACCAGCTTTGACTGAAAACTAACTTCAACTTATTCCTTTGTTTGTAACAATCTATACTCTGCTGAAAAACAAGGTTTGTGTTTTGTTTCTTCCTGCTTTTCTTCATATATGTAACCAGAAAAATTTAATTTTAAAATATTTTTTCGTATTTAAACTGAAATTTTTTATTTGTGTCTAGAGCAAGGGTTTCCAACTTACATGAAGCTGGGGGCCGGAATTAAAAACACCAGACAAATATGGCAGGTCACAATTTTATATAGGACTCTTTTATGTTTGAAGGAACATTAAATATTACTGTCAAATTCTTATTAAGTTGTACAAAACAAAAGTACTGAATTACAAATAAAATATGAAGATTTTTACCAGAGAATTTTTTTTCTGTTGCACCTTTGGTATGTTAAATTTCACGGAAACGGAGAAATTGGGCTTTTTTTTAACATTATAACAATCAGAATAAATGGAAATCTGATGGTGTAAGGTCAAGCAAATAAGGCGGATGATTGACGTACCCATACCTTAACTCATTAAACTTTTTATGATTATTCGAAAGCAAATTCATCCCCGAAATTTTTTTTTGAATAGTGACACCAGGGTTGGCAAGGTTTAGGACAGAATGGATTAATCCACGGTCTAAACCGTCCTGTCCAAAACCCTTTTACTCAAATTATGTCACAATTTTATCTGAACAATATTTAAGAGGTAAAATAAACATAGAACTAATAACATATTGATAATTAAATATACTAAAGAATATTTCTTTTTAAAAGTATAATGTTTAATTAATCAGTAATTAAGTTCAATTGGTCCTCTCATGCAATAGTACATAACTGAAGTTTGGCCTTGCCATACAGGTTAAAATATTAGGGACTAAGTGCTTGGTTCATCATAAACAGATTTATTTATCTATAGTACTATTCAAGAATACTTTTATTTCATTCATGTTCAATTCTTTTANTGTGAAAAATAAAAGGTTAATTTTCGAACAAATTTAGTATTTTTTTAAGAAAAATTATTATTTTTTAATATTGCCATATTTCTCGTTATGCAAAAATATTATTTATCAGTATTAAAAGCATATTTATATTTAAAGGATTAGGTATTCACTTTTGTAGTTCAATGAATTGTGGAGCTTCAAAAATTATAAACCTTTTCCTATTATATTATATTATTTTCTTTTTATAAGTTATAGTAAATTGTATAAAAAATATCAAATATTTATTGATACATGTAATTATTATGTTACAATGATTACACCTATAGAATTTTTACTTTTTACCAAAGTTTAAGGTTTTGGACATTTTAAGACAGTTTTACCCAGTTAAGGACAGTTTTGCCCAGTTTAAGACAGTAAAACCCACGTGTCCTGTCCAAAACCAGTTTAGGACGTCCAAAACACCAACCCTGAGTGACACGAGTACTTCAATCACTCACCATATTAACATTGGACCATCAGATTTCCATAAAGTGCTACAACAACCTCTTCAAGATGTGCAAATAATGATGAATTCGTAATGAAATGGTATGTGATTAATGAGGCAGTAATTTAAATATTTATAAATGAAATTATAGTTTAAGGTAAGTTTTTATGTATTTATATTTTGGGAGATTTTCTAATTTTATTGTAAAATTTTATGCCAAGGTGTAACAAAAATAAAGGAAATGATTTAATATATATCTGCAGCATTTTTGTTTTATTAATATTTGTAACTTCACCTGCACTGATGATTTTTTAAGGTTAAGTGCTACTGCCCAGGACACATTTGTTTGATATACTTTTAACAGGGTGTACACTGATAATGAAATTGTTGCCTAAGGGCAAAGATTCAATATGCATTACTTTTCAACAATAAAATGTAATTTTCAGTTTAAAAAAACATAGGTAATATTTATAAAAGATAAAATTACAATTTTATAGGATTGTAATATGCGACTCCCTTTTGGGATGTCATAAAATTGGTGACAAATCTGGTGATGAAAAAAAAACGGCTAAAAAAATTGTACTGTTAACAAATCAGCTCTGTGTTTTCAACTACGCTAAAATTTTCTATAGTAAGTTATTGTTTTCCTCTTTATCAATCTTATATTATCTTAATCTGGAATAGTTGCTTTCATACTGAGCACATTGGCTTTGAGAAAAAAAAAAATGCTTAGTAAAATAGGTTAAGATTATGTAATGAAAATTAGTAATATATTAGTTAGGAAATATTTAAATAAAATATAAGTATTTAAATGGAATATTTCCTTAATCTATTCTATGCTAAAATGATTGATAAGTCATTGCTACTTCTTAAAATGGTCCACGAGAAACTAAAATAACATCACAGAAAGGAACAAACTTGTAGCCAACTCCGCGTAAACATCTACATGTTTTTTTTTAAATTAGGAAATTTAAAATCTATTTAGCACCTTAGCAGTTGCAGCTGGCACAGCAGATCGCAATATGGAATTATCCATTAATTAAACAATGTATTATATCCTACTATAAGTAATTTAATATTATCAGGGGTCTGTCTAGGTTTTTCTGAAAGGTACCTATTTTGTGAAAATTTAGACATAATTTGTGAAAAATTAAAAATTATATTACAAAATCAATACAAAAACATGGTAAAAATATAGATTTATCGTTTCTTAAGGGATACAAAAATAAAATTTTAAGAAAAAGTATTTTGTGAAACTACCGTTTTTCCTAAAGTTGAATTTGTGAAACTACCGTTTCACCTAAAATTGAATTTGTGAAGGTACCGCTAAACGGTAGTAAATTCGGCCTGGACAGACCCCTGATTATCTATTTCTACTCTAATGTTTGAGCTAAATAAATTTATTACTCTGAACAATTAAACTAATTTACCTTTGCCAAGCTCACAAACAAATTCTCAAACAGGTTATATCTCTTCAAGATATCAGTCTAGAATAAAAATGACTTATCTCACTATTGTTGTGAAAAACATTAAATATCACTGATACTTTTAATCATAGGTGTGAAATGTGAAAGAAATTAATACCCATTTAAGGAAAAAATGTGATATAGGTTTTTTTTTCTCTCTTTAATATAAATTTTATTATCTTTGTTACTGTTTGATTCTAAACTTGTTTTCTTCACTAGAATTGAAACAAAATATTCTCAAAGCAATGAAGTCCTCAAATATATTTTAAAACAATCAAGTAACAAGACAAAANACAGACATTAGATGGTCAGTTTAGCCGATATAAATTTTATTATCTTTGCTATCTTATACTATATTAAATTTTATTACTGTTTGATTCTAAACTTGTTTTCTTCACTAGAATTGAAACAAAATATTCTCAAAGCAATGAAGTCCTCAAATATATTTTAAAACAATCAAGTAACAAGACAAAAACCAATCTTTCATTCATTTTTCCAGACAAATATTAAGTGTTTAAGTCATATCATGAAATCATTATTCAATATCGTGAAATTATTCAAGGAAATAATTTAAGCTATTATATGTGAGTTAGCAATATTAGGATTAAAAGTTACGCCAATTGCAGAAACAATTGCCATGAAAGCGTAAAACAATGCTTCAATACACATTTGAATGAGACATATTCTTTTTTTTAACATTGTTCAGAAGTTAATTATTACCAAATTATACTTATTTATTATTGAATTTAAATCATCTTCCCACATTACACATTATTAGCTGTAAGTTAAGAAATAATAGGTATGATGTAAGCTTTTTTGTTCAAAATTTAACACAGCAAGCTAATGAAGCATGGAAACTGAGAGTCTCAGACGTTTCTTACTGAGGAACTTTATGCTTTTCAGTGAACTCTTTTTGTAGATTCTGTAAAATTTTTTGTTGTTTATCTTGCTTAGAACTTAGATCCTTGAATAGTTCATCATTACGTTTAACTTCAGATGATATGAACATAATTCTCTTCTCTACGTTTTGCTTTGCTTCTTCAATATCTTGAACAACTAGAGCAGGACCTGTCATTTTGTACACTTTATTTTCAGGTGTTAAGAACTCTAACTCCTCTTTGACCACTTTATTTTCAGATAACTGACCATCTAAGGTCTGTTTAGCCGACATAACTTTCTGCATGTCTTTCTGAATAACTTTCATCTTATCCAATTCTTGAGTCAATCGCTTTTGAAATTCTTCAGGGGAGCCCATTTTTTATAGAGTTATATTTTAAGTTAAGATAAAACTGGTTTTCAAAAATAATATTTAAGATACAGATGAAATTATTTCATACACCCAAACAATTTCAATTGTGGAAAGCAACGAGTCTCTGCTAAGGGAGCTAGCATGGCGAAGTATATATTCTAGCTTACTGCTTACTACTTCCAGGTAATAAAAATGGATATATTCTCAATGGATAGACAATTAGCTCAGATGTGAAATTTCAACACAAATACGTTTTCCTGCTTGAATAGATTAAACACGATCAGAACTACTACTTGCACTTTTACTCCGCGCAAAGTTTCGGTTTACATTTGATCATGGAAATTTTAGGTAAATTTTTTTTTTCTGTGAGTAATTTGCTTGCGCTTTCTTAACAAACTTGTTTTGCTCACAAGCTTGCTTATGTATGTGTAAAATTAATTTAATAAACGATCAGGTAACTTTATATTAATACATGATGTCTTAATTCTTATTCAACTCTTAAATCATTTATGTAATTGATTTTATATTTTCTAAAGTATACTTTATATTGAGATATTTGTAATAGCAATTAATATTGTAAAATTTTTTTATGAATAGAATAAATAAGAATTTCTCACTTTTTTGTAATCACTTTTACTGAGAGATATCTGGGTGAAATTAACTTTATAACTTAGTTAATATTCTTAGGTTTTTGTATAAATGATTTTTTGCTTGATTGAATGAGCTGCGACTAAAATAAACCTGATTGATATTTAATTTGAAATATAATGAATATATAATTTAGAAATCTTAATCTAGGTTAATTTTTTTTCTTTTTCTATTAAATACAATTTGACTATTAAATACAATTCTATTAAATAAAATTTTTTTTTTTTTTACCAAGTTGTTTATGAAACAAAAAAAAAATAATTAGTTAATGCTAATTATTTCAAAATAGCAATTAATGTGTATTTATTTACTTTTACATTGTTAAAACAAAACTTTAGGAGTAGAATAATGTTATTTTTTTTTCACATTGTAAAGAAGCTTTTAATGTACAATGGTTCTTAATTTCTTATATGTTTATTTCAATTTAATTCCTTTGAGAATATCATAAATTTTTTATGTTAATTTTGGTTACATATCAAATTTCAGTGCTTCGACTAAAACGTTTAAAGAAATTTGCGGACATTCTATCAGATGACAAAATTTTTATTCAACCTTAAATTTAATACAACTTCTGTAACTATAAACTGTGGAGATATTTCCATAATGACATCTGTTCATGCTCACTAAATTTGGCAAGGAACCAAAAGGATTTTAAATATTTGCAAAGATTTAGAAATAAATAATTTGGGGTTTTTCTAGCCATGCTTTGAGTTGGTCCTCTCATGGGATGTTATTTGTTTAGTTTCCAGAATTTGCCAAAACTTTGCTTAGATACAAATATGGTGATATTTTCAAGACTTAGTACCTTTTACATCTTATATAAAAAATATATTTAAAATGATGTTATCCTTTGTGAAAAGAAAAAAAAAATATTTTAAGGCTTAAATTAAAATTGGCTGACTTATAAGGGTGTTATGAAATTGTGTTTTACTGTTATTTGTACAGTTTTAAAATAAAATTATATAGGGAGCTGAATCTTTTGAAATTATATGGAAAGGGTCTGAGCCCCTTTAAATCCTATTGAGTCAGCACCTATACTTCCTTTTTAATTCTTATATTTTATAAGAAAGAGTTTCTCAAATCATTTAATCCTTTGCTTACAGTGCTTAGTATGATGAAACTAGTCATTCTGGTTCACCTGTTATACCAGCTGTAAGAAAAAGGTTAAATACTAGGGGTCTGTCCAGACATTTTGTGTAAGGTCCTGTTTTTGTAAAATTGTGAAAAAACTATTCATAATTTGAGAATATAAAATAAGCGTTAAGTCACATTTTTTCAACCAGGGTCCTGCTCTTGTGAATTTGTGCAAATTGGGTCCTGTTATTTCAAAAATTGCTAAAAACCTTTTCAAGAAGTTTTTAAATTGTAAATAGATACAACATTCTACTCAACAATTGCTGCTAGTAAATTAGACATGCAACACACAATTACTTGGTATTTAGCCTATACTGCTCAATGCAGAATATTTATTTTGGACGAATAATAAAAACAAAATCACTCAGAATTTTAATGAATTCAATTGACATATTTTAAATAACATAACTTAGTAATGTATCACTTTTAATGTGTTACACATTAAGTGAACTTAAACAATTCTTAAATTTATAATATTTTATTTAAAAAATTGCCAGAAATTAATTTATATTCACATAATATTCTATTAATTTATTTTATGAACAAATATAAATTGATCAATTATTTATTTACCAAAGAAAAATTTTTGATCTAATATTAATAAGAATGCGCTTACCTACGATGTGTAAAAATTTTTTTTTCTATAATAAATACTATATTTGGAATTTAAACTTAGGGAAACTTAGTTTGTTTCAAACCATCTTTCTTTTCCCCCCTGGAAGGGTTTATTTGATTAACAAAACAATAATGAAGATAAAAAAATTTGTGAAGGGTCCGTTAACGGACCCAAATTTCTTTTAAACGGACCCCTGAATACCATTTACTATTTTAAATTTTAATACTTGTCATATCATTGTTGATTATGTTTTTCTCATTTTACTCTTGACTAAGACATAGAATTAAGTAATTTGAAGCTATTAAATATTTTTTAAATGTTATTTAAACTTTTAAATTTAAGACTTATTTTTAATTACTTCCAAAACTATGCTAATCAATTTTTTGAGATAGTGTAAATCTTATTAATTGTTTTGCATTAAATTTTTTTGTTTATTTTGCAATATTTAATTATTTATTAGACTACATTTTATTTTTCAGGTGTGTTGATTATACGGTTATATTCACGGTTTTGAAGGTTTATAATTTTTGGCTACCGTAATGGCTGACCTTACCCGTGAATTGAAATTCACTGCAAGATTTATGAAAGAGGGACAATCCCTAGATATTTATGAATCTTGTGTTAAAGATTTCTTTAACAACATTCCACAAGAGAAGTTAAACCATGTATCTAGGTTTAGTGAAGTTAAACAATATGTTAATGGCTTTAATTCTGATAGTTCATTATTTGATGTATCAGTTATAATTATTTGTTCTAATGTTAAGAGAGATAGTGACTTGTCTAATTTTTGCTCTTACATTATGAGACAATGGTGCAAAGAAGCAAGCGAAAATGAGTATTTACATTGGTTGATACCCGATAGCTGTAATTTCACCTTAAATAATTATAACAACCAGTATAGCAATGCAAAAGCCTCAGATTTTTCTTTCGGCACCCTACCAACCATGAAAAATTTTGTTACACAATATGTGTTTACACAGAGGCAAAATATTTCAACTATTCTTTGCTCTTTTTCTCATTTGCAGCGTCACTTTTCACTTTATGTATCTAATCGACATAAGGATGAATGTGCTATTAATGGCGAAATGGGACACAAAATTTTAATTCATTATGATTCTCTCAATAGAATAATAGCCAACATGGATCCATCTAAAGAAGTAGCTGAAATATTTTTTGTCATGGAACATCCTCCTTTTTTGTATGTTAGTTACTCAAAAACTGAGCCAGAAGATGTAGATGGTGTTAATAAGTTTGCCCAAAGCAGAGTTTCAAAAGCCAAAGAACTTGAATATGGCTGTGGCAAGTTTGAGAGGACATTTTCATTGGGCTGTAGGTGTAACAAAACATTTCGCACCAGTAAGACGATAGGGCAAAGTTTGGTTTTGAGAATATCTGTTTCAGATAAATTTCAAACACGTTGGTTGATAGAGCAATTGATTCTCAGGTGTTCTGTGAAAACTGAAATTTGTTTTTCATCTTTAAATTCAGTTAAAATTAACTACACTGAGTTGGATGTTCTCAAAAAATTTCCAGCATTACCAAATAATGGAAGAACTGACATCGAAACTATCAATTTCGAATGTGAATATGCTTGGAAAGTTATTCATTCTCGAACACTGTCAGTTAAACATGAAATTGTATTGCGAAACCAACTATTTCCTAACTATGTTAAAACTTTAATGCAGTATCTGAAGTCGTGTGCTAGAGAAAAACATGATGCTGTCACTAAAGCGTTATTCTTCATAGCTGAGATGGTGGACAAGGGAATAATGTTTTCGTTTAAAGAAATATTTGAAAAGAAGTTTGAATATTTTTGTTCTTTCATAGAGTCGGTTCCTTTGCCTCCCGGAATGTGCTATGCTCGTCGAGTCCTGTTAACTCCTTCTAGAGTTCTCTTTCTTGAGCCGTATGAGCATTTTGATAACAGAGTTATCAGAAGATATGGTACTGAATACATGTTGAGAATTTCTGTTCAAGATGACAACTTTTCTAAGTTGACATTCGCCGTTTCACATAATTCTAAAAAGGAAGGAATAATGAAAGAAGTGGTTGGAAAAATTCTGGAAAACGGTTTAGGAATTGGTTCACGTAGATATTTTGTTCTAGCTTCATCGACCAGTCAACTTCGAGAGCACGGTCTATGGTTATATGCCAAAGATCCTGTTGGTAATACTGCACCGATTATTAGGGAGTGGATGGGGGATTTTAGTGGCATTAAAACTGTAGCCAAATATATGGCTAGAATGGGACAGTGTTTCTCCTCTACTGAAGAAGGTGTTCAGATAAGCTTGGACAGTGAAAATGAAATTGAATGCAAGGATATTAAAACCAAAGATGGTCGTTTTGTGTTTTCTGATGGAATTGGCATGATATCTACTACTGTAGCAAATGAGGTTTGTAAGCTCTCAATTATTGCTTCATAATTTGTATGTGAAATTGTTATTTTGGGCGTGAATCAAAAGCAGGGTGCATAGTGTTTTTAAGAAGTGCTTAAAGGTGCTTATTTTCGATTTTTGTTTTTTAAAAGCCCTTAAAGGTGCTTTTTTCATTGTGTATTTTTAAAAAGTGCTTAATTTTCCCTTTTTCAAAATGAGATTTTTCCTTTACCATGTTGATTTTAGCTGCGGATTATGCGAAAGGACGCAGTTCAAATTTTTCTGTTCAGCGTTTTCGCAATTCATTCAACACCAATCTATTTCGGCGTATTGTCAGTCCATAGCGTATGGAAATGCCATTCGTTTTATATGATTCAAAACTTCATGATTTTTAACAATTGTCAAAAACAATGCCAAAAGTTTTTTTTTGTTGATATAATGGTTGAAACAAGATAAAACCATCAATTATCAAAAACTTTCCAACCCTGCCCAATTATGATACTTTTTTAAAGTGCTTAAAAATATCTTTTGAGTGCTTAAAAGGTGCTTATTTTTTGTTAAATAATTTGGCTATGCACCCTGAAAATGCTGATTTAGTAAAATAAACATAAATTCTTATCTGTTCGTAAAAAGTGGACAAAGCTTAAAGTTTTAAATTAATGGTGGTCTGTTGGTTGGGGATCATCATGAAATAAATTATCAGTGCTCTCTCAAAACTAGCAATCAATGTAAAGAAATCAAAAGTCTTTTTTTACTTTTGGTTTAATGCTACTGTTAATGTTTTAGTCTTAAAATAGCACATTACATTGTAATTGTGTATTTTATACATTTTCTGTATTGCAATCTTTCATATCAATGCACTGATCCTAAAATATTTAACAAGTCCCAGATTCGATTTAGTCCCCACCCATAGTCTCATACGAATATGGACGAGTGATCAAAACCGGTTGAGTTGCTATCCATCTCCCACTTGCAGAGTTAGATAATATGGATGATAACCATGCAGAGTTCTATCGGCAGATATTCTTAAATTGTGTGGATTCTTTTTCAACCACACACGTTTCATATTAACACAATTTAAATATCCAACATTGTGATTCATATGATTTTAATATCAAACATCAATTTATGTGATTTAAAAGTTATACATAGCTATTTGTATTCAAACAATTTCTAAATTACGAATTAAATTAGATCTTTCCTTCTTCGTGTTTTTTCTTTATTAAAAAAATCATACTTTCACGCTAATTGCTATTGACAATGTAATTGTGAAGTAGTTTAAAAAAGAGTAAAGGTGAAAAATAAGTTATTTAGAATACAATTTATTTATTTTAATTATTTAATTAAACTACTTTAATTTATTTTATACTTAATTAAATTGAAGAACATTTTCGAAAAGTAATATGAAACTAGATTTTTTCCTATTCAAATTACCATTGATTGTAAATTATTTAGTTTTGTAAAAAAAAACGTAGAATCATTATGTAAACAAAATAAACACATGGATTCTGATAACTTTAGAAATACTAATTAGTAGGCGAAGGATCTATGTCTATCTGTGATCTGCCTATGTTACCACTTTGATTATTGAATTTACCTGGCATAGTGAATAAAAAAGAATTAAATATTAAGTATGCATTGTACTCTTTTTTTTTTCTATCAATCATATCTAAGCTAGCAAATACCACTAATGTTATCTTGAATATATATGAATAAATAATCTCATCTATAGTTAAATCTGAAACAAAGACAAACACTTAACCATTGAAAAAATTCTAACAGCTCTCCCAAAAACAATCTAATAAAAAATTCCGAATGAATTTTTGAATTGAGGGCTAAAGGTTGCTTTTGCAGCTACTGTCCGATTTCAAGACGATAGAATAAATTGTTCTGGAGTTATAAAAGAGACAGATAGACAAACTCTTCATATAATTATTATAGATTCATTTAAAAATTTTCTTAATTGTATAATTTCAGCTCTGTCTAAAATAAAATATTTACCTACGATTTGTTGTCTTATTTATATTGTAAAAGAGTTAATTTGTTGTTCTGTTTCTTTTAGATAAGATCAGCTCTGAAACAAAATATTGAGTTTTCTATTGGAGGATGTTTGTCCTATGAACCTTCTGCTTTTCAAATAAGATATAGAGGGTGCAAAGGAATGGTTGTTGAAAATCCTCGTTTAAAAGGAAAAATCATTGGAATTAGACCTAGCATGAAGAAGTTTGAGTGCAGTAATTCGAGTCAACTTGAAGTGGTTAAAACTAGTGCTGCCAGTAAGTTGCAAGTTTTTTTCTCCTTATCTTTAGGGAACATTCATTATTTTAATGCTTATGTATTTTTGCTATTTAGAAAAGAGAAGTTAGCATCAGGTCAGTAACCGTAAGCTTAGCTTTAAAATTTAATAATCTAAATTTTTTTTCTATATTTACGTTGAAAATTTCTTGACTTAACTTTTTTTTTCTATTGTTGTGTCGACAGCATTTTTAGTACTGCAGTTTGCATCGAAACCTACCATAAGTTGACTCCTTTATTCTAACAACAAGGGCTAATTAAAATTGTTTAATTTTTAGTAAAAAGAAAGTTTATAGTGTACTATACATACAGGCATAAATTTTAATACAATAAAATTGAGACCTTTTTAAAATTTAGCACTTAGCTGTTAAACACTTAGCTTGTATGGAATACATCACCAGGGGTTTGTTGTGACTTTTCACATCCTATCGTTTTGTGAAAAGTCCATGTTCATGAAATCATGAACTTAAAGTTTTGACCGTATTAATTCAGACCATATATATATATTTTTTTAATTGCAGAAACCAATGGTTGGTTCAGATTTTTTGTGTGAGTATTTTTTTTTTGGTGGGGGACACTTCCTAGCTCTTTTGTTTGCAAGATATAAAGCAATAAAAACAAAATACCTATATTGGTTTTAAATTTATTCCCCCAAGTTTATATTTTTCTTTAATGTTTTTTATATTACTTTATGACATGGCATCATCCCATTGTCCATAAATTTAGCTAATATTTTGAGTAAGGAACTTATAAAGGTTTCTTTTTGGTGCTCAACTGACAGAATTGTACCAAATAATTTATCTTTGAACTGAATTTTATTTTTTTTTACCTCAGGAAGGATTTTTTTAAACTAAACATCTGATAACCATAGTAGAGAAAATGGGCATACCAAAAGAAACCTTCTTAGACCTGCAAAATAGCATTATGTTTGACTTACATTTAACTCTTTGTTAGATGAGAGATATGTGCAGTTTTTCTTCTTATTTGTTACCTAATTACTAATTTCCCCTGCAGTTCAATGCTGATAACCGAGTGCCAATTGTAAATCGTGAAAAGGTACCACTTTCCAGTTCTTGTGACTGCAATAAATTTGGAAAAAAAAAACTACAACCTAGTTTTGTAAATTAAAACCTCTAATTTATCCAATATTTGTCTTAATTGTTTTTTTTTTTATATGAGTTATAGCATGCCATTACCTTATTGTCTACAAAATTTAGCAAGCATTTTGACTAAGGAACTGAAAAAGGTTTTGGTGTAGTGCTTGTATGCAAATTATTTTCCTTTGCTTCTCATTTTATCAAATCATTCTGACTTTTATAATGAATGAAAGCTTTTCTTTTTACATTAGTATAACAGTTATTCTTTTTTTCTTTTCTTAGGAAGGCTTTTTTTGAATAAACATCTGATAACCATATTAGAGCAAATGGGTGTACCAAAGGAAACTTTCTTAGATCTTCAAAGTAACATGATGTTAAATTTAATTGATTCTTTGTTAGATGAGAGACATGCAGTTTCTCTTCTTAATTGCTACCTTAATACAAATTTCCCCTTCACTTCAATGCTGGCAGCTGGATTTTCTCTGACCAATGAACCTTTTTTTCGCTCTTTAATTCTTGCCTTCTTCAAAGCTGCAGTGGGTAAGGAAAGATTACATGGCATTTCTTGGATTAAGTATAAATGACTATATACTTTCTGTATACTGTAGTGAAATTTTATTGAAATGAATTTATTAACTGTATTTTCTGCAACTAATATTTTATGTTACACAATGCAAAAAATTTGCATTGAAGAAATTTTTTTCTTCCTGTTTGATGCTTATTTAGCATGCAAAAAGGATCTTTCTTTTTTTCTAATTTTTTTTCCTTACAATACTTTTTCTATTTAAAATAAGCATTCAGTTTAAAATTTAAATTTTGGTAAGTTAGCTATAGTTTTTAGTAAAAAGTACAGGAAAAAATAAATTGTATAATTTAATTTTGATTTTAAATTTCTTTAAAACATTTTTTACATTCTTCTTTAGACAATATTTTTATTAGATGGTTACTGTTAAGAAATATTTTGTTATATATTTATATATATTTTTTATTTAGTTTTTCAAAATTAATTTTAGAATTTTTTTACTGTATATAAATCATTTTCAAACTGTTCCTTGTTCTATATTTCTTTTGAACAGGTTTTGATGAAAGAGAAAAATTTTTTAAACCCAAATAAAAGAGAGAAAATCAAAATAATAATAAAAAAAAAAAAAATNATGCCCTGGACAGAGGCAGCTTTAATTTGACTGGTTTTAATAAAATTAATTCTTAAAAAAAAAAAAAAGAAGCTAGATGCCAGAAGATTTAAGTTTTTGAATTTAAGAACCTTCAATTAGTACCTTGACATTTTCAAATTAGGTTATAATTTTGGTGTTTTTTTGAAGTTAATTTAAATTAGTTTGAAAGATGCGTATAAAGTTTCTTCTACTGATTTCGTAATTTTTCCAAATAATTTTTCAAAGGAAGGGGTGGCAAATTGATTATTTTATAGAAGATATATCACTATCATTAATTCTGTAATAAATGACATTATATGCTTTAAAAAGGGCTACTTATTTTTGCATTTATTAATCACTATTTTTTTTCTCTTTTCATTCTTTCAATCACTATTTCTTTTTCATTTCTTTCCAGCAAACTTACGTTCCAGTATGCGCGTTGCTGTTCCGGAAAAATATGGTAGAAATTTATTGGGTGTACTTGATGAAACTAAAACTCTAAAGTATGGTGAAGTTTTCATTCAGTACAGTGAAAGTACAAGTTTACAAAATTCTTCTTTTAAAATACTATCAGGTTAGTAAGTGCTAAGTGCATTTCTAAAAATAAATGTGTATTTAAAATGATCATATTCTGAATTCGCTTATGGATCTTTCATCAAAGTAAATTAAAAATTATTAATTTAAGTCCTTGATTATTTAACCGCTTAATCCTTTCACTCAAAGCAAAACAATAATTTTATACTATTTTGCTGTCAAGAGTTACCTGGGCTTTTAGTTTTCACAAAACTGTGGCTTTTTTGCACATTTATATTTTCCATCATATTCATAATTAGTCTAGAACAGTGTTCCCCAAACCCCGGTCCGCGGACCGGTACCGGTCCGTGGATCAAATGGTACCGGGCTGCCCATTTCATTGAAATTAAATTTACACCCCAAATTAAAAATATCTGTGTTCCATTAAAGTTTTATTAATTTTTAAAAAAGGGACCCCAAAAGGCACTGACATAAATTTTTGTAATGTATCATTGTCTCCGATTACCCCCAGATGGAACCGTCTCATTGCAAAGAAACAAGCTTAGGGTTCTCATTGATTTAACGTTCTAGTAAGTTAAAATGCTAAATCCCATTATATTTATATTTTGGTGTAACCGTATTTTGTTTTGAAGGCATGTTTAAGTACAATTAAATTAAAATTAATAAATCAAAATGATCTAAAATATAAACAATCAACGCCCCCCCCCCAGCGGGCCGCTGTAAAATTATCAAACGCTGACAGGTCCACAGTGATAAAAAGGTTGGGGAACACTGGTCTAGAAGGCACTGTCTAAAAATAGGCAAAACTTAATAACTCATATAAATTGGCAATAGTTATGGAAATGGCATATTATTTGCTAAAAAGTGTAATTAAAGAGAGCCTTCAAATAACTGCTTTATTTTGTGTTTATTAAAAAAAGAAATTTTGATATCCACTTAATTCTATAATTGTGTATTTAAGTTAATAATATCAGAATTTTTTTTTTAATTCACTATAATTTGAAATTAATGTTCAATTACTAAAAATAATAGAGCGAGCTGTTTTAGCAAAATATAATAATTATTGCTGTAAATGTTTTACATAATTTTATATTTTATCAAGAAAATGTGCATCGAATTGGGCAAACAGTTAATGAATTATAAATTTTCAAAAATATGTATTTTTAATTCATTTCCTTCAATTGGTATTTCAGTGACTTGTTCAAATTTTGTATATTGTTATTTAAAATTATGTAATTTAAAATCATGTAGAAATTAGCATATGTTATTATTTGAAATTTTTTCAATGACTGTAAAATAAAGTAAGAAAAATGAATAATCTTTAAAAAAAATTCTTTTTTGCTTGAAATTATCTTTGGATAAAACGAGTTTTATAATTGTGTTTAGAAACTTTCCAATTTTTTATTTTTATTTTCAGAGCTGTAGCTAAATATGCAAAAATTGAAATTAACATTAAAGAGTTTTTTGCTCTCCTGGTTGTAATATTGGGATCATATCTTGTGGCTACTCACATTATATTTTAATGGTCAGAAGTTATTCCGAGAAAAAATTTTGATTTTGTAAATTATTTAATAGTTAACTCTAAATAGCGTAAAGTGAACTCTTTGGTTTAATAAGGAAAAGTGGAACTTAATAAGAGAAAATCTGATCTATTTCAATAGATTAGATAACGTTATCAGGGTTTATATATTTGTTTTAAATGAAAACATTTATTTAAAAAAAAATCACTTTGTTTCTAGGTCCTGTAATTGTAACCAAAAACCCTTGCCTTCACCCTGGCGATGTAAGAAAGTTAAAAGCTGTTGATGTTCCAAAGTTACATCACATTAAAGATTGTATTGTTTTTCCATCCCGTGGCACAAGGCCACATCCTGATGAAATGGCAGGTAATATTTTTATAATATGTTTTGATTTTTTAAACAGTTTAAATATTTTCTTCTGAGTGTTAGTGTAACCTGTAGATCATGCTAATAATGTGAAAAATTGAAAAAGGCGTGTATTTAAAATTCTATTTTTCAGAAATTATTCGACCTATTTCGGCCTTATTTTGCCATTTAAAATTGACTTCTTTAAAATGATGTAAAAAATTATATAAAATGCAAATTTGTTTAAATTTTAAAGTTAATTTTTGCATGGAATTATATTTAGATAAACAAATTTTATAATTGCATGCAAAAAAGTTTAGAATTCACTTGAAAAATTCATGAAAAATATTCCTGAAAATTTTGAAGTACGCAAAAAGTAAAATTAACATTAAGAGGTCCAACTGCTCTCCTGACTAAAATTAGGGGTCCATATTTCCCAGATTGTGGGTACTCCTTATTTTTTGAGAGTTAGAAATCCGAATTGGTCGTCGAAAAGATATATTTATTCAGAGAAAGTAGTTTTGTAACTTAAAATATCATCTGCTTTAATTAATTAGGATATTTTATGTCTCTATCTTAAACCATTAAGAATGAGTCTTAGAATGGGAAGTTCTGATCATTAAATCAAGAGTTATTCAGAGTGGTCTGCTTATTTTTTGAACACTGTGCTTGTACCCTTTAATTATGTCATAAGCATTCTTTATATTTAGACCATAAAAAGTGATACATATATAAAAACACTTTGTGAAAAAAGTGATAGTACATATTACTTTTTATCACCTACCATTTTGCTTTTGAAACATCATAGTGCTTTGACATCAGATGCAAATATAAGTATGCATCACTGTCTGCGGTCAGTGTGCGGGTGGGTGACCACTTGGATCAGTCTGCGTAGTGGCCGAGGGTTTGCGGTATTGGTCCTCGTTAAACTATTCTACCGTAAATTGCTCGACTTCGCATGCTGGTCGTTGGGCTACCGAAGCGGGGATGCCATTCCCTCTGAAGAGGATCAAAATTGTGATGGCATGTCTTCGGATCATCCTCAGGGATGTTTCCCAGACCGTCACCAATTGAGCCCATTGTGCAGCTCTAGTGCGACGTAAATGAACAACAAGAATGAGCAAATATAAGTATTTATATTATTAATTTATTATGGTCATAAAATAGCTTCTTTCTGCTAAATAAATGCAATTATTGAAAAGCTTTCGCTGTCTCTTTTTCGTTTTGAGAATATGCACTGTTTTTTTTTTAAATGATGCTAGTCACAAATGGGTTAATAGGAAAAGGTTATAACTATGCATTACATTTAATGAAACTAGACTGTTTTCATTTATACACTTTAACAATAATTTAAGTTGCATTTTTTTGTTTTGCCGAAGTAACTCTTAGGAGAAGGTTTGCTTTATATCAATTACATTAATTGCTTATACAAATGCTTTCAATTTTGAATTAAAATTTATTGTGTGGTGCCAAAAGAAATTAAAGAAAATTAATTCTCCCATGCTTTGAATAATAAGTGTAAGATGTTTTGATAACGAAAAAAATAAATAAATTAAATTAAATAAAAGAGAAACCTTCTCTAAACCTTCTTCAATTCTCTGCAATATCAAAATTTTCAGTTTCTCAAGTAGCTTGTATCTTATTTTTTTCTCATTGGGTTGTATTATACATAATTTTTTAACGCTTATTATATTGTATTACAGTTTTTATGTTTTATTTTTGATGAATATACTATAGTGAACTTGGTTTATAGTGAATTCCCGGATATAGTGAACGAAATGTTCGGTCCCGTGCCTTGCTATACCCGTATTATGTTATTTTTTGTGGATATAGTGAACCAAAGAAGTGATGAAGTTGGATATAATGAACTTTTTTCTGTCTTCGACTGATTTTTTTCTTCATTTTTTTGTAATAATTTTGAAATTTCTACTTCAAAATAAATACATATACCGATTTTTAAAACCATCTATAGTGGAGAAGGTAGCAATAAGCACTTTTTTCTTGTTTGCTTCTTTTATCTTACTTTCCCATCCCTAAACAAATCAAGTAGATGTTTCCAACCCAGGCAGATGATGCACCTGTAAGGTGCCAGTGGGATCAATATGCATTTTCTATCAGAGGGAATGAGTAATTATTCATTATTGGTCAAAGAGTTGGACACTAATATGTGTTGATAAGGCCCTCATTTCAACTCCTTTTTGCTCTCAGTGCAGTTAAAAAGGCCTGCAAACAAGTGTCTCAAATTTAACTATGTTGAGCAGTAAACATTATATGTTCTCCATTGATGATAAAATGGGCATAAGCAGAAAAATTGAAAATGGATGTAATCAAGCTGATATTTGTAGGGAATATAAACTATCCAAATCTACAGTTCGTAACATATGAAAAAATAAGCAATTAACAATTTCTGCTCATGAAAAAAATTTAAATCGCAGAAAAAAGTTGAGATCACAAGGATATTGAAGGTCAACAATCTTCCAGTATCTAGACAAATGTCGATGAATTTTCTAAGCGATTTTATGAGATTACTTTTATGTGCTCGAATGGCAGGTTAGACAAGTTTAAAAATTGGGCTAACAGAAATTCAGGAAAAATTATCTGAGAGTTGGGAAATGTTTCCATATCTGATGTTGAGGACTGCTCAACAGCTAAAGATTACTAATTTCTTTTTTTGTACGCAGGACGAAGAGTAATAGAAAATAATAAATTTTTTGCTACTACATAATATTTTTCTGTCATTTATTTGAATAACGTGTAATAAAAGGGAGGAATTTGGGAACCATTAGTTAAATTGCCCACATAACGGATATAGTGAACTCCCGGTTATAGTGAACCAAAATTTCGGTCCCTTGAAGGTTCACTATAGCGGGGTTTGACTGTATTAATTATATAGCAGTATAACAGCTATTAAAAACTTTTTTATCATAATTGATAAAGTTCTTTGTAAATCTTAGGCTCAGATCTGGATGGAGATGAATATGTTGCTCTTTGGTATGAACCTTTAGTGTTTCAGAGAAACAATTTTTCACCAATGATTTACCCATCATATGAAGAAAATACCAAGCCTAGAGAATTTACAGTAAATATATTTAGACTTTTTATTTTATTTTAGAATGTATTTGATTAATATTTGGAAATATATATTTTTTAATAACCATTTTATCTTGCAAATTGTTTTATAAAACTTCATATTTTCCCTTTTTTTTTTTGTTTTTTTTTTGTTTTATAGAATTATGTATTCATTATGTTTAAATGTTTTTTTTTTTTTACATCACAAAAGTTTTTTATAGTGTTTTAATAAGTGCTAATGTGCATTGCTTGGACAGAAAAAAGATTTTGTGAGAATAAGATACTGTTTATATATAGAAATGATAAAAATAAAGATGTTTTTTCCCTTCATCAATCAATTCAATAATTTCAATTAACGTTAAAAGGATTTGCAAACATCAGTATGTATGAAATGTGCTTTTTTTAAAGCATTTGTGGCTAAATTTTCTTGGACTTTCATCAATATCACTTTTCATTTTTTCTTGCATTGTATTGGAACTTAAATATTAAAAAAAAATGGATAAGTAGAAAATATAATTAATAAAAACATTTTAAATTATACTTTTGTTTGAAATAAGTGTGCAATTTTTTTTCTGATTAACAAAAGCTGATAAAAAATCAAAACTGTTTTAAGAATAAAGCATTTTCTAATTGAATGAAAAAAATTTTTAAATCCTATTCCTCGCACCATTTTTATTATGATTTTGGAATTTGCCTCTTGTTTTTTTATTCAATAACTAATTATCTAATTTAGTAATTTAAAAATAATTATAATTAAAAAAATATAATGTTAAAATTTAATAATTAGTTATAATTATTTTAAAATTATTAATTATAACTAATTATTAATTTTAAAATATTATTTTAAAAGTATTTTTACTAATCCTTTTGAATGTATGCTTATGTTAATAAATCCTGTAATTCAAAATTAATATGACTTATTTCTCACCTAAGTAAAGATATATTTTTCTCAGACGTTATTTTATATACATGTACAGTACACAAAAGTAAAAGTTGAATACACAAATAACTTTTGATCTAATAATCAGTCTGGAAAATGTAATCTCAATAGTTTAGACAGAGAAGCTATCAAAAATTTGTACCCCTTAGTTTTAATTTCCTTTTTTGCTTATTTCATAATATCGATAAACTTGTTAAGTGTTTCAAAAATTGGTGCACATAATTATATAATTTATTTACATTAAAAGATAATTCTATGTAGATAGTAATTTTTGAATACTTTATTATTTTTTGTTTTGTAATAGTTGAAATTTTTTTTTCTTGAAAAGCGACATTTGAAAATTTTTACATCGTTTTAAAGCATGTTAGTATAAGCTTCAAAACATAATATTTGACTGAATTAGGTCAATTGTTCGTGAGAAATATTTTTATCATATTTGACTGAATTAGGTCAATTGTTCGTGAGAAATATTTTTATCACACATTTCTTAAAATTTATTAACGCAAAAATTATTCGACTGATTAAGATAGAGTCCTAATGCCTTTAAATACAATCATTGAATCGAAATTTATTCAGGGGGTATACTTTTATTTTGCACACAGTTATTTTGTACGCAGTTCAGAACAATTCACTTGATTGCTGTAAATAATTTCTTACTTTTAAAGGTGTTTCTGAATGCAATCTATCCATACAGTAAATTTTTCTTTTATAGGTTTCCGACATGATAGAATTTTTCTGCCATTACATTCAAAATGACTGCATCGGTTCTTTTGCTCATGCGCATCTTGTTTGGGCTGATAAACTCGAGAGAGGAATTTTTTCAAACAAATGTATGCAGATAGCTAAACGTTACCCCTATGTTTTGGATTTTGCTAAGCATGGCACTACTAAATATTTGAAGAAATCAGAGCGCCCCGATCAATACCCTGATTTTATGCAAAAAGGACTCAACGGTAATAGCTACCACTCTAAAAGAGCACTAGGATCACTGTACCGTGCTTCTAGAGTATTGGATGCTTGTTCCAGTAAAATAAATTTGGCAGCTGAATCTTTTTCATTTGATCCAGATTTAGAGTACCCAGGATGGGAGAAATATAAGGACTCTGCCACTGAGCATAAAGAAAAGTATTCGACTATGGTAATGGCAATTTTAAACAAGTACTCGCTTCAGAGCGAATCAGATGCCTTTTCTGGTTTTGTTGAGCTGGAAGTGAGTAAAAAATGGCGCCAAGAGAGCACAAATGTGATTAAAGTTGTTAAGTGCTACATAGATAGCATCATGCATGATTTTAGAGGTAAATTTTTTCAAGATTTGGAAGATGAGATATCCCAACTTGAGTTGGATAAAAGTGAGAAACAGCATATAAAATATCAAAGAGCATCTGCATGGTACATGTGTTCCTATGGAACAAAATCAGAAAAAATTCTAAGCTTTCCTTGGATTTTAAGTGATATATTAGTGGAGATCAAATCTTTAAAAAATAACACATTACCACACAATAATTTTCTTCAAGATATTGATTCTGACATACAGCAATGCCTGTCATCTGGCATTTTAACCGTCAGTAGTATATCTGATAATACTTGTTATTGTAAGAATGTTCTTCAAGCTGTAGTAACTAACTGGCTATCTACATCTGGGCTTAACATTTGGTCCGAAGATAACCGGCATACTTGCAAAGAATGCAGCCGGAGAGTACTGACCTATTATATGACAGACAGTAAAGAATCTTGTTGTAGTGTAACTGAAAGAGACATGTGTTCTTGTAATAAGTCTTGTTCTCCTATCAAACTTATTCTCAAGTTTTTAAAGTTCTTTGTAAAGAAAACAAAGGAATCTCTTGGTAAGTGCGTTGAGGACTGTGATGGTTTCATACCGAGGAATCTTCAAGAGTTAGCTTTGCAAACTTTGGCCTACGTTGCAATTACCCGTGACATAAAATATCTTGGCTTGCCATTTGAGACTTCGAACTGCAGTAAAAACTTCATTGCAGATGCTGTTGCTGGAAATATGTTTGAAGAAGAAGGTGATCCCATTAAAATTCCTGTAAATACCACTGAATTGAAAGAGCTTATAGAAGAGCACTTAGAGGACATTAAGGCTTATTTGAAGAAAAATTCTGGTGTTAAGTTTTTGGTTTTGCGTCCAGAAAAAGACATTCACGATAAAAATTGCTTAATTGTGAATTCTGTTGGAAAGAGTTTTGAGCGATGGAACCTCGAAGCAATTTTATTGGATCCCGATTTTACTAATGTTCTGAAAAAGGCTCTAAAGCCCTTGCCTATTATTAATTAATGTATTTTTTAAAAATATAATGAATTAATTAATGTATTTATTTAAAATATATTTTTTAAAAAAAATTTCTGGCCTAACATGCTTTTTAAATATAGGCTGTTCTGCAATCACTGACCTTAATATTAAATACTATTAGAATCTTAGTTGTAAATTAATGTTAATGCTGTAGCTGAATATATGTTGAAGAAAAAGGTAACTATTAAAATACCTTAAATACCGTTGAGTTGCTTATAGAAAAACACTTAGAGGATGAAAAATGAGCAACTACTAAAGAAAGAATGATTTTTAAAATAGTGAAATCTGTTTGATTGCCTGATGAGACATAGTGGGGCTTCTAATCATGGCATTTCAACTTATCTCTATTTTTGTTGGCAATAAAACAGGTATTGCTGTATTTTATCTTGGCTTTCACTACAGTGATTTTTTAGATTTTAATACTCAAATACGTTTAATATCATTAAACAAAGTTTTTCCATTCCATGTCAGTTTATTCAGCCATTGAATCCAACAGAAATTAGTACACCTATGGAATTATCAATACTGATTTCAAAAGTCTCCTTAATATTGGAATTAGTAAAAGGGAGTAAAAGTTGTTAGCTTTTATACTTTTGCTAAAATGGCTCTCTAGCCCCCATTTCGATTCACGCACTAAGCTCTATTAATACATGTAACTCCTCTTAAATCTGTCCTGTAAATATAGTTTTTATTTTGTTTTGTGCAGAATAAAGTAATCTAAACATAGTTTTATATGAATTTCATAGTTTTATATAAATTTTATATAAATTGAAGCTTATTGATTTTTACCCCTTGACTAATATTAAATATCATTGATATTTTTGAAATCAGCAACAAAAATTGTGTAAGCGAAATTTTTTTATTTAATTATGAGATGAAGGATGCCATTTCTGGAAATTTTGGTATGGTTTTATTTTAAATAACTGATATATTAAAGGCTGTGATTATATAGCACTTTATTCTTAATTTATAAATTTTTTTAAAATATTATTTTACTAAGGCTATTATTTTCCTCGATTTATACTTCCCCTCTACTTAATATTGACACAAATAATTTGATTAGTGGCTACATTGTTATCTGTTTTTATTTAAATAATATTTTGCTACGCATTTTCTTAATTTTATATCCTCTTTCTCTACCAATTTTGTAACATGAGACAGTTCCAGCAATAAAAAATAGATAATTATATACTCAAAATAATTTTAAATAATACTGTAATTAAATCTAAAAACGGAATCATATTTATAATTTTTTAATCTATAGTAAAATTTTCATGCTTTTTTCTTCAATGGACTTAATGCTAGTTGGGAAAACCAGTATTCATTATATTAGTCTGGTTTAACTATGTGTTATACACAATTTTAAAAAAAATAAATGCGTGAAACTTTTTGTTTGAACAAATATCACTGTTTAGGTGGTAAGTTACTTTTGTAATATTACATAGTTTATAATTATTTTGTATTTTTAATACAAGTATTATTAAGTGAGTTTTTTGTGATAATCTCATTAAGAATTAACTTATTTTACACATATTTATGTGAAGTCCGCGACTTCTATGTTTTAAATTTTAGTCAAATTGAGTTTTGTTTATCTAGTTTTACCCAGTCTTGAAATTATAAATATTATTCTATCCTATTTATTGTTTTTAAAAATGTTATTTTTGATGTTTTCTTTTTTCTTCTGCTAAAGAAAAACACGTGGTTCATTGTTCCAATTGATCAATGTAGTGTTATTTATTATGAAGTGATCATATTCATTGTACTCTTATTAATTGTTTTATAAAATGTTCATAGCTATTTAAATAGCCAATTCAACAAAAATCTTTTTTTTTCTTCCCCTTATCAAAGTTTTCTTCAAATTTTTATGATAAATTAATTTTTTTAATTCATAACTGAATTTTTCAAACATAAAAAAGAAAAGCTTTAATGAATTATTTATCTTTCTCTATTTTTTTAGTGCATTTGTGTATTTAAAAATTGAAGTATGTGATATAGAGAATTGAAAAAACTTCTTACTGAAGAAAAAAAGAGAAATTTTTAAATGGATTCGTATTATGTGAAAGTTTAAGATTGTAATTGACAACACTAGGGAATTCTTTTTTTTTGGGGGGGGGAGGATAGGGAGAGTCAAACTAAGCATATTATTAACCATCTTCTTTTAATATTATTTTGATTTCGTTATGAATTTCCAATTTCAAAGAGATCATCTTCATCTCAGACCAGCTACTAAATTTGAAGTTACTTTAACCACTTTAATGAATAAATAATTCAGGAACTGATATAAAATTCCGTTTTTGTTCTAACTATCTCATGATAAGCAATTTAAATGTCAGCAAAATATCTGAGATCATTAGTTTTTAATTATCTTTATATGGTTTTTCCTTTATAGATATTTTACAAAAAGCATAGACATATTATTGTTTCAGGAAAGGAATTATTGCAAAAATGAGCAACCATTGGACCTGTTGGAGTTTGTTTTTAACAATCACATATTATGTTAAAGGCCTAGAATTAATTTTATTTAACATAGTTATAGGTGCTAAGGGTTTTTTACATCCTTATAAATATCATGTTTAGTTTATACAAATGATCTTAGCATGATTTTAATAAGGTATTAAAATATTAAGAGCTGTTTTTATGAAAAATAATGTACTATAATGGAGATATTTAAAAATTACAGATAATTGTGTTTGAAAATTATGTTTATAATGTTATTTTAATGATTACTTGTTAAGTTTTATTCATGAAACAAAACATATTAAATATCTTATTAGTTAAACGGTATTTTTAAGTTTTGCAATTTTGTTTTATACAATTCGACAAGCTGAACAAAATAAATATTTTTCTCAAGTTTTAAATTTTAATACATCAGCTGTACTTTATTTAAAGAAAGTTTCTTTTTTTTTGAGCAAGTCTTTTGACTTCAAATTTGTTACTATATTTCTTCCCAAAATAGATATCTTCCAATTTTCAACATATTAAAGAAAGTTTGTCCCTTTATCTTTTATTTTATTTTTAAGGTGGCACTAAATAGTTGTTTATTGATTTTCCCCAGTTGTGGTTACCCCTTCCTCCCGTCTGCTCCAGTACAAAGAGCTTAAAATCTTTAAAATAGTTTTTCAATTAGTTTTTGATATCTAATCAATCATAGGGCTAGCTGTCCATATACGACTCATGAAGATTTTTGGAATAGTTAGCTTTTTAGTAAAATATATTTACCACAAGTGTAAGAGCTTAGTTAAAAAAAAAAGATTAATAATTCCTAGTAATATTCATTTAAAAGTTCATTTAAATCTGTCATACATTTCTATTCCCTTGTCCCCTATCTATATTTTCTTCTTGTTTTTGAACTATTCTGGCTAATATATATTCAACTTACCTACAACCTCTCTTTTCATGCATAATATAAAGATTAATTTAACTACAGGTTTGGCACTTATCTATGGATTTTCAAATTTCTGCTTTTTATTTATTGTTCATACTTAAAATTCCCTATGAGTACCTCTCAAAAATTAATTTATAATACATTTAGAAGGATTGTATTATCATACATTTATACTCTTTCCATTCCATCTATAATATAGTTGTTGCTGCTAAATTTATTTTATTATAATCTAAATTTCCAAAAAAGAAGGAAATAAGAAACAGTTAATTACCTATTTAATTACTAAATAATAAAAATATTCATGAACTGATTAGGGGTCGTTCAAAAAGTACATACACAAAAATGGAGAAATTTTAACCCCGTCCTTCCCCTTCGTACATTACCGTACATAAGGTCTTACCCCCCCCCCCCGTTAGAGTACGTACATTTTATTAGTCTACCCACCTTTTTCAGAAAAATTATATACTTATACTTATAACTTACTAATTATATACTTAAATTATACTTATTTCATAAAAATTTACGTACTTTGTATAATATCACCCCCCCTCCCCATCGTACAAAACAGCAAATCCCCTCCCCCCTTTGGGATGTACGTACTTTTTGAACGGCCCCTTTCCTCTTAAGTTACGAAATAATCCTTTAAGTATTGCTTTGAGAAATTTAAAAAACTGAAAGTGCCTCTTCCATTATTGTAGGGAAATGTATATGGGCTAGTTGTAATAGTATTTTTTAAAATCTCATTAATGATGTTTTAATTGTTAGTTCATTGGATAAATATGATATGTATGAAACAGTAATATTTATGTTGTAATTATGTTCATTTTGTTTTGAAAACATAAATTTATTAAAGGTTTATTTTCTGTGTTTTATTTTAAGGATGAAATGGTTTTTATTTATATGAAATGTTTATTGAATCAAGCTTTTGTTTCAGAGATATTATAATTTGCTTTGTTTTACATGCCTTAGTCGAATATTTCAATTTGATACCTGCATGCGTGGGTAAAGCGTGGTGCTTGTTTATGCTATGTTGCAGCAACCATTCACGTTTGTCACACACGCGTGACGTAGCTTGCAGATGTCTAATTATATCTGATCCAAAAACTGATTCAGTGGGACAATAAATCAACAAATCTCATAACTGTAGCGTGACGCCAAGCACAACCACGTGATTAGACTCAACCATGTGATTTCAACAGATTAAGGGGCGATTGTATGTGTGAAAAGAACAGATCTGAAATATTTTAAATCGAAAGTTGTGATTAGAGAATGAATCAAGTGTGAACTTGATTCATTCTCTACAAAGTCTACGGGAAAAAGAAACAATAAAGTAATAAAAAAGGCCTGTTAAAAATATTTAAGGTTTTATTTTCATCGAAAATCCGAAGCCTAGAAAATACTCTTTTAAAAAATTCTTGATTGATAAAACTGCGACAATGATGTGTCTTGAACAACTTTGTGATGACGTTTATATATATATATTTAAAACTGTTTATTAACCATGCAGTTTATGTTTTAATTAAGATTTCCTTTGCGAAGATAAATTAAATTTTTTTCTTCGTAAAGGCGTTTTTTCCTGCAAAATATGAAGGGAAGCATTGTGAGATAAAATATTTGACGAGAAGGCCTTAGTATGGTGGTTAGAGAATCGAACTCTGGTCCGGAGAGGCCGGGGTTCGATTTTTGACTTCGTTAAAAGACTCATTGAGTACACGTGCTCTTAAAATCTGTGGAGGGTCACGGAGCAGTACCATGGGTACAGGGATATGGAGAATACTTCCCCATCAGATCTATGTCAAAATCGAGGAAGTGGTCTCACGAGTGAGTGGTGCTGCCATCTATCCGTGGGGTTCTGAGCTGAGACGTACTTTTACCCTTGTGGTTCTTTTTTGTCAAACGAAAGACGTACTTTCCGAACTTAGTTAGCACAAAGGCCAATGGTTAACGAGCTTGGCTTGTCCAAGTGTCATTAGAAACAACAACAATACTTGATGAGGTGGCATCTCGTTTCATCGGTTTTGGAACAGTTTGCTTATTTAATTTTTGAAAATTCTTCCGTGAATATTGACATTATTTTTCAATAATATGTGTATTTTTATGGTAATTGTTACTTTTTTTTTTATAAAATGAAATAACATGAAAATACGTTTTTGTTATGCATCAAAGAACTTTATTAGAATTTCAAAATCTGTTGATTTAGGCCTATTTTAGACCATCACGCAAAATATATATGTAATATTTGAAGATATAGTTAACAGTCTGAAAATGAAAGCATGAAAAGATAGCTGAGCTTATACATGGTAAAATCATATCCCTATGATATACATTATATAGTTAAAAATATTCCTGCAAATTAGTTGAGTTAAAACTGATACACAGGTTCCGAGAAATTACGAAAGTAAAATATATTTTTAATAATATTTCTTAATTTCAGAAAAAGTTCATTTTAGCTGTATGTGCTTTGAATTAAGTATACAATTTAACTAAGAGCAAGTAACTCGTCAGAAATGCGCATTGTAAACAAAACAAACAATAGGAAAGTGAACGTTGATATTTTGAAGAAAATCTTAGTTTGAAAAAATGCATACAGCTCAAAATGCGTGATTTAAAAAAAATGAACATTTGATTACGTTTATTAAACTACTGTTAGGACTAATGTGGTTTAATAAAAATTACTAGATAATAATGGTTAGTCGTAGTGTTTAGTGAAAATGAAGCGGTATTTAAAGAGTAACATAGATGTTAAAAATGTGGGTTTAATTTTGAACAGAAGGAGTTGTGTGTCATAACAGTATTCTTTTTTTCTAAACATACAATGTGAGCAGCATCTATTTTCTTCAAACTGTTTCCATAAAAGTTAAATTTGAGCTCTGTCCATTTTCTTTAAACACGCATTTCAGATTACGTTTGTTATCTTAAACACGTATTTTAAGTTTTTTTTTATTATTATTTCAAGCTAACACCATTTTTTAAACGTTTTTTTTTTTTAAGTTATGTCCACTTTCTTAAATTTGAATTTGGTCCAATTCCACAAATGTGCATATATAGTAAGCTAGCTATGTTGATTTCTTTTTAACCCTTTGCGCAATAACAAATGTCGATTGGAAATTTTAGTGAGGCAGAGCATTAGCAAGTTAAACTTTAGACTGTATGGATGGTTGACTGTGTAAAGCTATGGACAGATGGCGCTGGGGATAAAAATTCGTCATAAGACTTCCTGGCTACTACTTCCGACTGATTTTGACGAAGCTTGAAACAACGCGCCAACTAATATTATAGTAGTGTTTTTAATATAATTATATGCGTTAACGCATTCATTTAATTTTACTTTCGACGAAACAAACGACAAATGAATTCGGAACACTCTGCAAGCTTACTACCTAAAAAATAACAATAACAAACGGCGCCATTTTACACAAATATAGCCAACTAAGGGATAATACTCAAAATATGGAAAACCTTACACTTTATTTATGCTATGATATTAATTTTCTTGAATTTGTTTTTGCCTTACCACCTATTAAAATTTTTAAATTACGGAAAACTTGTATAAATGGTAAATTTGCTCATAAATTTAGACACGGATTATAAACTTTCTAGAATATTAGGCTGGTGTTCACACTTTACCGTGTAAGCATAGCATTAGTGGAAGGATACACGGGAAATTTTCTAAATTTTTTCCGGTTTTAGAAAGCTTATTATTAGCTCATAGCATTAGTGGAAGGGATACACCGGAAATTTTCTAAATTTTTTCCGGTTTTAGGAAGCTTATTATTAGCGCATAGCATTAGTGGAGGGGATGCACAGGAAATTTTCTAAATTTTTTCCGGTTTTAGGAAGCTTATTATTAGCGCAAAGCATTAGTGGAGGGGATGCACCGGAAATTTTCTGAATTTTTTCCGGTTTTAGGAAGCTTATTATTAGCGCATAGCATTAGTGGAAGGATACACCTGAAATTTTCTAAATTTTTTCCGGTTTTAGGAAGCTTATTATTAGCGCATAGCATTAGTGGAGGGGATACACTGGAAATTTTCCGGTTTTAGGAAGTTTATTATTGTTTGCATTCAGTCAAACATCCAAAGCTGTATCCATTTTTTTTTTCAAATGCGCTTTAAAAAATATTTTCTTAAATGCGTATTTTGATACAAAATGAAAAGTTAACCGACAAGTTTTTCTTATTGTAAACAGACCCTATAGCAATAAAATTTGAGAGTATAAAAACGATCCTTGGCCAGGAGTCTTAAATTGACCTCCAAATATAATTAGATTAACCATTTATCAAATGGTTAGCAATTTCATCTTGTAATACATAAAAACAATTTATGAAACTATTAAATACTTAACCAGATTGAGCAATTTAAACTCCACATTTAGTACCATGTTAAAGCTCAACACATAAGTGATATGTTTATTCAATGATATGATTCATCAATATAATTGAATAGAGAAAAGCTTTTTATGTGCGATAATGAGCCATTATTTTACACATTCAGTGTGCTTAGAATCGTATCCATGTTTATCTTCAGTATTTATTCTGATATGATAATAATGGAATTTCTCTGTCCAAGAATTGAACTACTTAAGTTTTACATTCATCAGACATTTAGACATTAAAATAGTACTTACAATCACCTACAATATATATACATGTATACAAGTGAGAAAGAAAATAAAATTAGTTTATATGTATAAAATTTCATACATTTAAGTAGACCTTAAAACAGTTTAGGAATATATATCTGGACTACTTTTTATTGGGAAATATATTCAGAAAAAATTTAAATTCGGATGTAATAATCTAATTCCCATAAAATCTATTGTGTATATTTTTAAAGATACAATAGGAATAAATCTTTATTGATATTACAAGCTGTAAAATTTTATGAAGTTATTTTTTTTCTTCTTGACAATTATGAAAATAATTTTTTTCCATCTCTCTCAAGTCTCTTGTGTATTCTTTATCCTCTATTAGCACTTCTGATCAAAAACTGTCTAACCAAATTTGTTTATAGTTTATAAAATGCTTTACAAAACATCACTTTCTTCGTTTTTTAAATATAAAATATCCTATTGTATAAATAATACTTAACAAACTTCTTAACCCTTTGATGCAGATGGGTATCCTTTTTATATATATTTCTTCTGACGCTCGAATTACAAGCAAAAATATAGTTCAGTATTTTTTAATTAAAAAAAAACAATGTATCAGCTACTAAAAAAATCTGTTAGTTTATCAGCATTATATTTGTACTAAAATATAAAATTCAAAAAAAGTAGTTAGAATTTTTTTTATTTATATTCTAAATTTTAACAGTAATTGATTTTGTAAATTAAAGCAATTTTCTTGATGAATAACTGTTTCTCTTAGATCTAAAGACTTGCAAATAAGTGCAAATGTGAAAAAATTATTGTTTGGAGCGAGCCGTGTTTACCTTTGACGTAGAAAAAGACACCATTTCATGCTGTATTTCATAACCATAAATTGTTAGACAGCTAAATAAAATACTTTCCCTAAATTAATACAACAACAAAACAAAAAAATGAAAGAAATTGTGAGAAATATGTTTAATAAAAAGTATACGTCAAAGGGTTAAGATGGTTTTATTTGTTTGTAACTTCAACTCAATCAAAGTTGGAACAAGAAAACTAAAATTACTTGAATTTTGAATGAATTTCAGAAAGCATTTATAACCGAGGTTAAGAAAACAATTGCTGTGGTATATAATATTAATTATAATGTCAATTAAAATAAGGTTAATAATAATAAATGAGCTTGATATGATACTTAAAGTTGACAATAAAAAGGTTGATAATGAATTCGATTTGGTTAATATACTTAAGATTGCTATGTTATTGAATTTTAAATAAAATAAAATTTAATTACTAAATTTCATGACATGTTTTGTGATATGGCTTACTTGCACACGCCAACACGCTTCTAATATTTTCGTGAGTTTATAAGAAAACTGGATAAATAATTGTATTCGTAAAATATATTTTTCTAACTTATCGTATTACATGCGGTTCAACGGCTCATGCAAACCGTTGAAAATATTTTTTTTAATGGAATTCTTTATTTTACTCAGAAAATTATTTTTGTCTATTATGTACTTTTAGTCCTCATATCCGACTCCCTGCTTACGGACTCTTTTGTAGGATTAGTTGTTATGTAAGTAATTTTCCTAATAATTTCAAATTAAAATAAATTTTTTGCTTGATAGCATTTAAGTAAAAATCTAAATGTTAAGTAAAACTAAATTTTTACTTAAGTTTGTTGTTAACTATAATAAAGATATTAGAGTAAATTAAATAAATCTTTATTTTTCGCCTTTGAAAATTATATCTTAATCCAATTTATATAAATTTTCATCTTTAATGTTTGGGACTTGCTTGTTTGGCCTTTAAAAATTTTATCTTAATCCAATTTATATGAATTTTTATCTTTAATATTTGGGACTTACTTTTTTGGCCTTTGAAAATTTAATCTTAATCCAATTTATATAAATTTTTATCTTTAATGTTTGGGACTTGCTTGTTTGGCCTTTAAAAATTTAATCTTAATCCAATTTATATAAGTTTTTGTCTTTAATATTTGAGACTTTTCTTGTTTGGGTAGATAGTAAGGTTTTTTTAAAAATATATTTACAAAACATTAGGTGGCATTATATAATTTCAGTACATGGATAAAAATATCGGAATGATAATCGCTCTTAGCACTCTTATCAGGAATGTCGTGAAAAAGGAATTTCTTCTACATAAAGATATGTACAGTTTTTTGTGTTTTGTTTTGGAAGTATTTTCAGCTGGAAGATGTACTCTTTCGATTTTTGGCTTCTTCTCTACCTCTGTTGGTCACTTCTGCTGTCTTCAAAGTAATCCCAAAGATGTCCTCATGGTAACGATTTTCTTCCTGTAAAGATATCATTACAAACCAATTTTTATTGATATTATTAGTAAAATTAACTCAGTTGTTTAACAGGTGCTACTCTTCAGCAATAAAGGAAACGAGGGAAATCCTTCGTTTCCTTTATTGCTACATTAATTTCTTGAACTTATTTTTTTAAAATCATTATTAGTCGAATTATAATTAAATGAAATCAATTAGTTAATTTTTTATAAAAAGCGAACATAAAATATTTTATTCTTTTTTTATCGATATTTCAATACTAATGTTGACTCATTAATTTACTGTCGCGCCTAATCAAAAACAAAAATCTATTTATAACTTTTTATTCTTAATTTCTTACCACAAATATGCTTCAGTTACATAATTACACTAATTCTCATAGTCTTGTTGACGATTCGCGATCGCCAAAATGTCTTCAAACCTTATATGGATTATGGGGGGGGGGAGACCTGGCTTCATTTTTGGCTATGCTATCTTTCGATAATTTGCCAATCTTGGATCTCTTCCCCATGCTCCCAACTGTCCGTTGGGAACAAATTCATTCACGTTGAAATTTCAATTTTTTTGCTACTGAGGGTGCCCTTTTGGGCCACCCAGTCCCAACCGTTAAATATAAAAAATTGCTAACTGAAATTCTAGATGTAAGATAATGTTTTATCTTGATCCCTTTAAGGGATTTCTTTTCTTTATTATTTTTATATTTTTGAATTATGGCCATTTTCAATAATTAATAAATCAATTTTTCTTAAAAGACTTTATTTATTTCTCTGAGACAATTATCAATTTATTACACCGAAAAAGTCAAATAATGCCACCTGCATAAATCCGCAAATTAATTTAAAACGATCACTGTCATGATAGCTTCATTTATTATTATAATTCCCTTAGACTTAACTAAAGTAAATTTATAAAAACAAATCTCAATAACTCTACTATCAACAACAGAAACGCTTGATTTAACTTTCCCGAACTCTCAAAACAATTTTCCCATAAACTTAGATGTGTTACCACAACAAAGCAAATTAAAACTACTTAAAACAAGAAACGTAAAAATTAAATATTAAAAACGTCACTAAATTCATATTAAATTAAGTATACGTTAAATAGTAACGCTTATTTTCTACTCAAAGCTCAATTCCGAATGTGAACAACTTAAGGTAATGGCATTCCTGTGTATTCGACGTAATATTTTTATGAAATGGACAATACAAGAAAATGGGACAGATATGAGGGAGAGGGGGTTCTCCCTTTGTTCCCACTCACTTGCTAACCCACGTGTTAACTTAAATAACATTTCCTACTTGACTTGTAAATCAAATTTAATAAATTTTCAAAATAATAAATTATTAAAATATTTCATCCTATTTAACTTAGAATGAAAATTTCGCTTGGTATTAACTGCAGCATATTTAAATTTTTTCCCTTCAAATTATTAGTTAATTTTCGGTTACTATGAAAACTCGTTTAAGGTTTTCTGCCAAAGAACTTATATGTCAATGGTGTGAAAAACTAATTTCCAGCATTTCTTTGCAATCGAAAATAATTTTTTGTTTCAATGGCTTTTTTTTAATTACAAATACAGGTTGGACATAATTTTATATAAAAGTAAAAATATAAATAATAAATAAAATAAATTCAACTAACTGTTTAATGATTTTAAAACGGTAACTCAATATGTTTATCATTATATATTTTGAAATAAGGTAATATCTTAAAATTACTTTCTAATAAAGTATAATATTTTAATGCTTAGGCCACTGGTGACTAAAAATGCACAACCTGGTGACTAATAAAATTAAAAATTATACTAAAAGGGATTAAAATTAGCAACTTTTTCAAGCATAATTTTTTTCCACTTATTATTGAAAGTAACATGCTTTGAGAGCTTATTTAGTCTTAGTCTTTTAATTAGTGCAGAAATATTATGAATGAGTTCTTATAAAGATTGGGGCTCTTGAATACTGCCGAATTTTTTACAATTTATTTTCTCTTATATAATGTTTATATTATTCAAAGATAATAATGTTTTTTTTTATTCAAATGCTTATTACGAGAGTCTAAATTATGTTGTGAAATCAATCTAACATCAAAGCAGAGTTAAGCGATTAAAATTAAAATCAATTTACCTCATCTATGAAAATTTATAAGTTGAGTACGGGTTTCAATTGCCTAAAACTGCCATTAAAAATAGAAAAAGGTGTCCTAATTAATTGACAGCCTTTAGAGGACTGGCACAAAATAGCCTTGAGCAGACTGATAGAAGACAGCCTTGGGCAGACTGGTACAAGAGTCTTGGGCATACAGATCCAAGATCGCGTTGGGCAGACAGATAGAAAAAAAACCTTGGGCAGACTGATGCAAGACAGCCTTGGGCAGGATGGAACAATATAGCCTTGGGCAGATTGATTCAAGATAGCGTTTAGCAGACTGATACAAGATAAATTTGAGCAGATAGATACAAGATGCATTGGGAAGACTGATACAAGATAGCCTTCAGTGGACTGATACAAGATCGTCTTTAGACAGACTGATAGAGGATAGCCTTGGGAAGACTGATACAAAATAGTCTTGAGCAGAGAGATACAAGTTCGCGTTGGGCAAACTGATAGAAAACAGCCTTGGGCAGACTGATGCAAGACAGCCTTGGGCAGATTGGTTTAAGAGAGTGTTGAGCAGACAGATACAAGATGCATTGGGAAGTCTGATAAAAGATGTCTTGAGCAGACTGGTTCAAGATAATCTTTAGGCAGCCTGATAGAGGATAGCCTTGAGCAGACAGATACAAGATAGCCTCGAGTAGACTGATAAAAGATAGTCTTAGGCAGACTGATAGAGGATAGCCTAGAGCAGACTGATACAAGATATTATTGGGCAGATTGATACAATACATGTCTTGAACAGATTGATTCAAGATAGCCTTGAGTTGACTGATACAAGATAATCTTAGGCAGACAGATGCAAGATAGCATTGGGCAGACTGATACAAGATAGCAATGAGAGCTCTCCACCTAAAGAAATCAAGGTTTTAATGAAAGCTCTGTAAATTTTTCCATAAAAAATTGTTCAGATATACATTTTTGTCTTCAACTGTAGCATGTTTAAGGACGATTCTATATCGATTCATTTTTATTTAGAATATTAATTTCTTGAAATCAAGAATTGATTTATTTCTTGTTATGCGTGAATGAAAAAATGATTTATATCTTGTAGGCGTTAGTAAATTAGTGATTTATTTCTTTAATATTTGTAGAATATATATTACCTGTAAACGCTTAATGACGTTATCTACTGCAGCCGGATTCATTTGTCCAAGCTCTTGAATGATCACTCTCAGCGTCTGATTGACGTCCTCTGCCATACTGACGTCACCACACACATAGAAATGTCCTCGTTCTTGAATTACTTCTTTGTACACTTTCTCAGCAGACTCTCTCAAAATGTGTTGCACATAACGCTGTAAATGATTGGTTAAACTTTACAGGGTGTTCCGTTATTGCCGTCCTTATCATTTATATTTTTTAATCCTAATAAAATCTGAAGTAAAAAAATATACTCACAAGATTTCGTAACTTAAGACTTACACAAAATGTTTCAAAACTTGTTTAATCATTGAGGAAAGCCTGATTATAAAAAAAGATAATCTCATTTGATTGCCGGGAGGAGCTGAGAAAAAGTCAAAAGCGATTAATTGAAGCACCTCCAAATTTCCTCCATCAACCAAACTGGTTTTGATGTTTTTAACCCTGCCTTTCTCAATAATGATTTTCCATGTTCTGACAGGATTTTTGTTTTCTTCTTAGCTTAAATATTAGTTTACGACTAGAATTTGTATATTTTTTATTCCTTTTTTTGGCATAGATTCTTAAAATATGGATTACAAGCGGTGACTAGGAACACACAATACCACAATGCATAACTAATTTTATAAAAGTGAATCACTTAAAAAACAACAGTGCAAAGTTTACGGGTCAGTAGTACTAAACCTTAACAAAGCATCAGTGTAGGATATGTCGGATACAGGAACTTAATCTAAAAAAAAAAAAAACATCAGCGTATGACATACTGGACGAATGTAAACTGGGCAGTTGCACATAACATCAGTATAGGGTTAACCGGACAATGGCTCTTACATCCTATGATTAATCACATTATTAGAAATAAAAGACAGTGATTATTATTGATTGATTATTTTGTTTAGTGTTTGATTTGGCGAAAAACTTTAACCATTGCCAACGGCTCTTTTTAACGGAAGAGAACCGATTTCTTTTTTAAGCAGAATTTGCAACTATTTGGTGATAATAGAATATGTTTTTTTTAATCGGTTACACACATTATTTATTAGTTACATAATAGAATCTTGATGTCATCATATAATATTATTTGATTCTATTTATTCTTACTTTTGGTTTACCAGGAACTCGAGAGTAAGCTGAATGCACATTTGCTAGTACACCACATTCTTTCATTTGTTGAGTTTCCTCTTGGTGCAATTCTGCCTTTGGGTGGCGGCACCCAATTAATAGAGTCATGTTTCCGAAACGTTTCGTCGAATCTCCACCTAAAACAATATAAAAGAGAAGTTGAAAATTAATAATATATTAATAATATAATAATATCCCCTGAGCCGCGATGGCTCAGGGGATAAAGCGTTCACATTCCAATCAGGCGAACCGGGTTCGAATCCCAGTCGAGACGAATTCCGCATCCGGCTTGCATCGACCACAGTGCTGAAGTGAAATATCCTCAGTGGTACACGGATCATGAGTTAAAGTCTCCTTGCCATCAGTCTAACCATGGGATGTTCTCGTGGTCTTCTTCTCTATGTAACGCATCTGCGGGTTAGTTTCCTCAAAAAGTCCTCAACGAAGGCAAAATTTCTCCCGATACTCGATCCAGGAGTTCCCTTGTCTTCGGGATTGGGTTCAAAATTTCAAGGCTACGGAGTTGAACATTAGTAGTCGCAAACCCATACAATTTGGGTCGGCTGTTCAACGACGGTTATTAAAAAAATATGTATATATAACAAAGGGAGCCGTGACGGCTCTGGGGATAGAGCGTTTGCCTTCCAATGAGGTGAACCGGGTTCGAATCCCAGAGATGGCTGGTTGAAACGAATTCAGATTGCGCCGGCTACAATGCTGACGTAAAATATCCTCAGTGGTAGACGGATCATGGGTTAGAGTCATCAGGCTAATCGTGGGATTTTTCCTCTCCATGTAACGCAAATTCGGATTAGTTTCATCAGAAAGTCCTTGACGAAGACAAATTTCTCCCTAAACTTGATCCAGGGGTTCTGGATCAGGTTCAAAATTACAAGGCTACGAACATTAATAGTCGTAAACCCAAAAATATTGGTTCGGATGTCTTTTAATTGCAGACATCTTGTGGTGAATCCTTTCATTTGTTTCAAAAATTTAGAGTTTAGGTTTCTACCTTTTATATAAAAAACTTTTTATCCAAGCGGAGCAATCGGCATTCCTGCACACGGCTAACACTGACCACATCGCTGCGGTAAATAATCATCATTGTTAAACGGATCATGGTTAGGGACCCCTTACCGTCAGGCTAACAGTGAGAGGTTTTCCTCTCCATGTAACGCAAACGTGAGTTAGTTCCGTCAAAAAGTCTTCCACGAAGGCAAAATTTCTCCCTATACTTGATCCAAAAGGTCCCCTGTCTTCTGGATTGGGTTCAAAATTACAAGGCTACGGAGTTGAACATTAGTAGTCGTCGTAAACGCAAAAATTGGGTCAGCTGTTCAATGACGGTTACAATATTAAATACTTGATCCAGGAGTTCCCATTTTGGATTAAAATTACAAGGCTAAGGAGTTGAACTTTGATAGTCGTAAACTCAGAATTGGATCGGCTGTTCCCCGCCGGTTATGAAATAAAGTAAAGTAAAATCTGCACTACTCTAAGTATTATCTTTATTTTAACACCATTATTATAATTTTTCAATATTATCCCAATATCAATAGAGGAGATTTCTAAATGGTGAAATCTCAGGCAAAGAATATATACATATATATATATATATATATTTTCTTTAAAAAGTGTAAGTTCGATGCAGCAATTGAAAAGGAAAGATCTTAAAACCTCCAATTGGCTTTCTCACAGAAAAGGGAAGAGCTTCAAATCTCATGTTTGAAATACTTTTCCAAACTTATATCACTAGACAATTTCAGAACATAAACAAACATTCTTGAATTACTAAAATTTGCTTTATTACATACCCTTCAACATTTACATTTTCTGCGAAGTAATATTTCCAGGGGAGATGTACTACATCTGATAGACCTAAAACAGATCGAATTATTCTTGAACTTTTAACAGGCCCTAAGATTATAAATATTTGTCTACTTGACCTTTCATTTATGTGTTAATTAAGTTAAATATAGTTTTGTACAAAACTATTCTTTTTAATTCATTAAAATATTAATGGACTACACTTGCTACCATAAGAGACAAATGTTTAAAAAACTACAGAAATTCCGTAACTGTTGGAGGGTATACTTTATTATTATGAAATAATGAGCTTGAGCAAATATAGTGGTAAACCACATTTTTTCCGAAGGTGACGTTTTTAGTTCAAAATATTTCTTAATATTTTTTTCTGATAATTGTTTTACGTGTTTTCGAGGTTTTTATTATATATTAACGCAATGCACGAAAACACGTAATTGTCTTTAAGTAAATGGTGGTATTTTTCATTAAAAATACTCGCCGAAGAAAATTGAAAACGTGGATTGTCATTTTATCGTCCTAGGTCGTTCAAATATTGCATAAATGGAGACATATATTTACCAGAAGTGGCATTGATGTCAATGTATCTCTGCTGCCAAAAGCTTCTAAAAGGAGCTATTCCTGTTCCGGGACCAACCATGATAATTGGCACTCTACAGTTATCTGATAAGCGGAAATTTGGAGCACTAGAAAAAAGATCAGAAGATTAAAAGTTCGATTTGGAACCACTTGTATCAATACACAAAATTTACACAAAAAAAGAACTTGAGCTGCGATGGCTCAGGGGATAGAGCGTTTGCCTTCTAATGAAGTGAACCGGGTTCGAATCCCAGCAATGGCTGATCGATACGAATTCCGCATCCATCTTGCACTGTCCACAGTGCTGACGTGAAATATCCGCAGTGGTAGATGGATCATGGGTTAGGGTCCAACTGCCGTCAGGCTAACCGTGGGAGGTTCTCGTGGTCTTCCTCTCCTTGTAACGCAAATGCGGGCTAGTTCCATCAAAAAGTCCTCCACGAAAGCAAATCCTTCCCTATGCTTTATACAGGAGTTCCCTTGTCTTTTGCATTGGGTTCAAAATTACAAGGCCATGAAGATGAACTTTAGTTGTCGTAAGCCCAAAAACTATTTTGTCAGCTGTTCAACGACGGTTATAATAAAGCAATTGTAAATAAAAATGCAAAAAAATCTTAGCAATTAAATTTATCATGTTAAATTTTAAAGCATGGCGCCGGCAACAAATGTAATCGTCATGCAAAACATATTGCGGGCATTCACAATATGTTTTTAGGGGTGTATTGATGTTTACCAAGCAGTACCAGCCAACAAGCCTATAACCAGTTACGACTAGAAGAAGAAAATTGAGTGTCGCATTAACGAAACGCATTCACATTTATGCAAAATGATGTTTGAAAAATTTGACACAAGATAGCGTATGCGCCAGGATTGCGTTTTCTGTCGAAATTGTGACAATTTTGGAACACCCCATACTTTCCATTATTTCCTATAATTGTCTTTTAACATGTTACTTATATTTGAATTTCTTTTTTGTATCGAAACTGCGTAGCTTTACTTCAAAGGAAGCAATAAATAGGGTTTTCATTTATTTTACAGAATGACTATATTTTTGAACAAACTATTTTTGTATTTATTCAAAAGTTTGAATTTGGCTACAGAGTGTTTTTTTTTAAATCACAATTTTAGCCTATTTTTGCCGAAATGTGTAAACCTAAAAATGTTGTATATAACAGAGCAAATTTTGCAACAAACTTCTGAAAGAGTCAGAGGACATTATCAGCAGTAAAATTGCTGATCTAAACTGAAAGAACTAATACTGGAAAATGTGGTCGCACGCCGTTAGAAGCGCTCCACTTTTATGAGAAGCTCAGAAGCACATGAAACAATTCATAATCAGGCAGCGCCTCCAGCGGTGTATGACATTTCCGGCCGAGGGTTTTTATGCAATTTTAATCCTGATAATTTGTTTGAACTCCCATATAAGTCCGTCGCATCGTTTACGTGACCCCCTGTAATAGATTATGTTTTAAAACTTGTATGTTTCGACAAAAAATAAGCTACAAATGACATTTAAAAAAACTGCAGCTTGTAGTAAGAAACTGTTCGAAGATTTTAAATCCGCAATACGAAAATATCTAAGATTTGCTAAAAATTCTTATAAACAGGAAAAAAAATGCTCCCCAGTTTAACTTTTTTGTTATTTAAATTATTTTGCCAAGAATAGAAGGTAAACATATCTAAACTGACAAGATCAGGTGAACATGGGGTATTTATCTTTTTAACGTATAATGTGAATTCACGCAGTTCAGATCAAATACAAACTTTTGCAAATATCTGAGAACTGCTTTAAATTAATGTTGATGTCGTTGCGTTTGTTTTTAGGATGTTTAAGATGTTTAGGATGTTATGGTCGTTATTAGGGTGCATTTGCTTTTACGAAATTTTGTGATATTAACGTTTTATCTCCTGTGGGTATAAAATAAAGTGTGAAGGATAGAAAGGCATTTATAATTATGGGTTGTGATTTATTAAAATAAATACACTATCTATTAGAATATGAAATTTAACCCTTTCGCGCCGACTGTCACAAATACGTGACAGCAAAAAAACCGTATCAACCAGGGTAAAAAGATAAAACTGGTAATCAAAGTAATTACTTAGCAGTTTATTTGTGGGCGGGGTTATAATTGTTTGATTTATATAACTCACCATTTTGTTCAAAATAAAATTACTTAGTTATACTTTGAACTAACATTGATTATATATATGAATAAACTAACAGTAATTAAAGTTCGTCTGTAAAATTAGCAATGCCTGCATTTAAGCTACCGTTTCTTATTTAATTACATCCTGATTTTGTACGAATGCATTTTTGAATCACCCGTCCCCAAGGGGTTAAGAATTATTTTGTTACAAGGAACTTCATTAAGAGTATGCAAAAAACCTCACCTTCTAACAAAGCACGCTGTTTCCGATCCTATTGGTAAAGACTCTAAGTAATTTGAGCAAACTCCATAATGTTGAGCGTCACCTGTAAATATTATATGGTAAATATTATATGGAGCGTCACATGTAAATATTATCTTATATTATACTCAGAAGGTGTTTTGATTATTTTTACGAAAAGTTTAACGGAAATATAACCCCGAAAAAAAGAAGGAAGTTTGTGTGTGTGTGAGAAAGCGAAAGAGAGGAGGCAAAAAAGATACTTAAAAGTTATTTAAATAAGATTAAACTATTTAAACATTTATCCCATAGTGAAGGCCATTTGCAATTCTGTGCTTTAGAACAGCCTTACTGATGTTCGAACCAGTGGAATAATTATTGTTCGAATCGGTGAGGCCAGTAGCTATTCCGTTCTCTGGAACCACTTTGCTAGTGCTCGAACCAAGACCACTATAATAATAGTTGCTTAGGCCGGAAGAGCCTGGTTGGTAGGGCATTGGGCCCATGCCCAAGAGTTCGTGGGTTCGATCCCAGCCAGCCGAAGACAATGGTGTAGTAAATGGTGACTGATGCAATTTAAATCTGTCGAGTCGCAAAGTTCTCCATGTTCCATAACAAATCAATACCTCTGGGGGTACTGATTCAGCAGTTTCCTTGTCTTCTGGATTGGTTCGACATTACGAGGCTACGGAGTTGAACATTAGTAGTCGTAAACCCAAAATTGGGTTGGCTGTTCAACGACGGATATAAATAAATAAATATTAGTTGCTTGAGACACGATGGCTCAGGGGATAGAGCGTTCGCCTGCCAATGAGGTGAACCGAGTTCTATCCCGGCGATGAGCTGATTGATACGAATTCCGCATCCGGCTTGCACCGACCACAGTGCTGACGTGAAATATCCTCAGTTTTTGACGGATCATGGGCTAGAGTCCCCTTGCCCTCAGGCTAACCTTGGGAGGTTCTCGCGGTCATACTTTCCATGTAACGCAAATGCGGGTTAGTTCCATCAAAAAGTTCTCCACGAGGACAAATTTCTCCCAATACTTGATCCAGGAGTTTTCATGTCTTCTGGATTGGGTTCAAAATTACAAGGCTACGGAGTTGAGCATTAGTAGTCATAAATTCAAAAATTGGGTCGGCTGTTCAACGATGGTTTTAAAATAGAAAAAAAATAGAAAATATTAGTTGCTTAGAATGCAATCAAGTTCTTCATGCACACTTACAAATATATTGAGAGAAAATTAGGCTTACTTTGAGTCCTGTAAACTACAACGGCTACAGTCAGGTGTATGTGACCAGGGTGGTATTCGGGGGCTGAGCTGATACTGTAAAATCTTGGCTGTAAGGACGACAGGTGTGTGATGAGGAACTCCGGTGTGGGAACCACGGAAGAAAAGTACTCCAGTGTCTCTAATAAATTGGGATATAGTTGAGATTTCCAATCTTCATATCGAACAGAATCCTAAAACCGTTATAGGGTATGAGATAAATAATCCCAAGAAACAGAAGAGTTCAGACATTACCTGATAAAAAAAACTTCATTCACTCCAGAAACATATAAATAGCAAATAACAGTCGACATGTTTCAAGCTCTTCAAAATTAGGTGCCCATTTTCAAGACTTGCCAGACGTGAGTGAGAAGAAGCAGAAGTAATTTGATCACTTTTCACGCGCAATCACTTCTCATTCACGTCTTTCAAATCTTGAAAATTGGCGCCTATTCTTAAAACATGTCGACTGTTATTTACTAATTATATATTTCTGAAGTGAATGAAGTTTTTAATCTGGTAAGTCACATGGTATGATTAAAATTTTAATACAAGCATTTTGATCCGATTTCAAATCACAATCTAGAAAACAAGTGAATGACACCGAAGAGCTAAATATGTACTATGAGACATACTTTGCAAACTTCGAGATTTTCGCAAAATGTTTTTTTCTAGAGGTATTGAACTAAATCGCAACTTTTAAAACTAGTATAAATTTGTAAAATTTTTAACAGAAATGAAGAATATATACATTAAACTGCTCACTTATAGATGCGTTTAAATTATTTATAGGTAATAGTGATCAAAATTCTTTCAAATTCTACTTTACTAGCCCATTTACTATTACTAACTAATTTACTATTCCTAATTAATTACCTGACTTTTGCTACCACTAGGAAAAATATTCTTGAAATTACTAAAAATCCGTAATAGTTGAAATTGATGTCCATAGACATAATTTTGCATACCCTCCAACTGCTACGGAATTTCCGTAGTTTCAAAAATCTTCTTTTCAGACGGTAGCAAAATTAATGTCTTAATATTTAAAAAAATTTAATTTTAGCGTAACTTGTCCACTATTACTTATAAAAGTGCAGGCCATATGGCTAGATTCTTAAGTTCTGATAAAAGTTTTATGAGAGATCCATTTGCTTTAAAAATTTCTACTTTGGTTCGCTACCACTAGAAAGAATTATTTTCAAAATCCTCATAAGTTGGAGGGTATGATTTTGCCTATCTTATTAAATACAGAGATGCTAATTGCTGTACTTTCTGCAGAAGTTTAAATATATGGGTAGTGAATAAAATAGTAAACGTTGCAGAATAAAATATGAAATACTACGCTATTAAATTATATGTGTATCAAATCAAACTAAAATATTTAAAGAAAAACAATACTTTTAAGACTTTTTTAATTTTTATACTAGTGAGAACTAAAACAATATGGAAATGAATCAGGGAAAACTGGATCCTACCACGTGATTTAGCGGCCAATAAAAGTGTAGCGTTAAACGTTTAACGCAACCTTGTTGGAAGTCGCATAAGAAGTATAACTTCAAAAATGATTACGCTTACTTTTTATAAAAGTCACCAAGAGATTACAGTAATGATCGAAGTTGTATTTTATGTGATACATACTTTGATTTTCGATATGTAGTACTTACAATGTAAAATACAAAACAAAAAAGAACTTAAATTTCGTTACCACTGAAAAATATTTTTATACAAAGGAGAGCAAGTTGTCATCTCTGTAAATGTATATGGGACAAGGCCGGATTAACCATTAAGCACACT